TGCATATTGTATATTCGATGTTTATTTTTTTTGGATATATGTTGATCCCAGATAATACTATTTAGTTGAGATATGGTGCCGTTGAGATAACCCTGAGTGCCGTTCGCATAAGTTTCGATTTGTTTTGCTTACCCTATCTCTAGCCCAATAGTTTCTGTCCCAATTTTCAACCCCCATAATAATACCCTATGTGGTAGGCAAAATATTTCGTTACAACTCGTAACCAGTGCATGGCGTTCACGTGATAATTCTATTTGTTCGGCAGCCCAACAGTGTAACGTTTGTCCAACAAATGGGCCACACCGAACTTACCGTTCAAAAGTTATGTCGCATAGAAATTTCAGTCAAATTTCCAACTTGCCCTTTATATTATTTAATGGTCCCCATACGAGGTAGAGTATGTACAGTTCCTCATGACTCACCCTGTATAACACAAGCCATTATTATATTAAGATATTACAAAAACAACTAAATACATTAAAATAACATTTTATTTTCTAAAATTGCAGAACAACTGTTACTGTTTATTTGTTAAATAATATTGTACAAACATATCTGTATAACAGAGTTAAAAAAAAAGAAACAAAATCATAATATAAAAGTTAAAAAAAAAGAAATTTAAGTATAATTTTACAACTTTCAAAATGGTACAAATGGACACACCACTTAAATTATTTCACAAAAACATTCTCTTATAAAACAGCCAGAGAAATATTAAATTAAGCAAAAATATACAGGGTGCACCAGAAAGTAAATAAATCTTTTAGAAAAATGGCGTAAACTAGGATTAGAACTCTTATTTCTATTTTTGTTATTCAAAATGCTTAAAGATAATTATTATAAACTATACGGTGCACTCTGTAGTTCAAAATTTCGTGAGTAGTAATCAAAATGTACATATTGTTAAACGAGTGCTCATCCACAACATTTGGGGAAGCACAATTCAATTTTTTTCTATATACAATATATTCTGTCTCACAATCAATTATGTTACAACTATTTGTCTTTATTTGATTAAAAAATGATAATAAAACCTTTATATCAGAATTTATTTAATCATCAACCTCAACTTTTTATCAATAATTTGCTTATATGTACAGTCACCGAAAAAAACTTAATTAAGGGTTGTCTATGCAATAAAAATGACGTGGTTTGGAAGTTTAGCGACTTCCTAACCACGGATGAAATTAAAACGGGTCAGTTACAAAATGGAGGGCTGGATGTGCGAACGAGCGAGATTAGGTGGCTAGGTGCGACTTAGGATAGGTTTTCTTCTTACGGTGCCTTATCCTTAAGGACGTTGGCCATTACATTTGCTCATTTAATTTTATTTGTAGCAGCCCTGAATAGTTCTATGGAGGTCATGCTCGTCCATTGCCGTAGGTTTTTAAGCCAAGAGTTGCGTCTTCTTCCTGGTCCTCTTTTACCCTCTTTAGGGTAGGTTTTAGTTACGTTAATTTTGGAAAAAGGAATCCATTTGAGCCAGTTCATTTTAATCTCGATGTGTATATTCTCCAAACAGAAACCTTCTCCCTTTCCAACTTAAGTTGCGAAAACTGAACAACTGATGGCGAATCTTCACATATCTGCGATTATAAGTGACGACAATTGAATGGCGGGCTGTAACAATGTTGTAAGCGACAGATTGGGTCAAAGTGAGGTTTTAATGCAATATTATTGTATATCCAAAGACCAATGCGAGCATCCTTTAATCTGGCTAAAAACATTTTGCCTTCCCTGAGTTTTTCGTACCACAATGTTGGTACCCGTACAAAAACGTTGTATGTATGTTACTGTCAAACTACTACCACTGTAAAAATGGAGGTTAACGTGTCTCTGTCTAGCCTTTTGCACATAAATAGAGGGAAAAAACGCAAAATCAATATTAACCAGTGAAAGAGAAACATCCATAAAACGTCAGAGAAATGCAGGTGAAGCGTATATATCTAATAGAAATGAGAATGTACTAGCAATACACCGTCCATCTCATATACTTGACTCTTGACTTTAGTTAAACTTTGGTTTACGTTACAACTACATACACAAGAGTCCACATGAGTGCAACAATGTTATATATTTTGTTAGGAAACGAATGTTTTTGTAGGCTTATTATTGTGGTTGGCTTTGGTATGATCTGTGCTCGTCCGTAATGAGTGTATGATTTGAAATTCGAAATATTTCGATAACTTCAAATAAGTAATTTTATATTTTAGGAGAGACTATGTAACTGCAAATCTGTTCGCGAGGATGCTAAAATTCAAGGCCAGTTTGGAGATCTCTTCACAACATTTCATAGGCTGGATTATAATGCACAAACTGCACGCCTGCGCAAAGATACAACGTAGACGGACTCCAGAAGACATCTCCAGACGACAATGTACGTACGATACCACATCCAGATTTGACTGAAGAAATTACCAGTGTGCCAAAAAACTCTATGTCAAGTATTTGGAATAACACCTCAACGAATCCAACACATTCAGCAGAAGAAAAAAACAGCTATGCCGCTACATGATCAACGTGGAAAACACAATAATAGGCCTAATAAAATCAACGAAACCGACAAAGAACGTATAAGAAAACACATAAGGTCGTTTCCACATCAAGAAAAACCATTATAGTCGCGCTGCATCTACGAAGAACTGCCTTCCTGCTGAATTAAACTTGAAAAAAAAATGTACAAACTGTTTTTGTGAAAAGTATCTGCAATGCAATGTTTCCCGGCGCACTTACACTGACATTTCAATCAGACTTTAATTTGCGTTTTGGTTTCCCTCGCTCAGATTCGTGTACGTTTTGTGATAAAATGTATATCAACCTTGTGTTTACGTCAGACGGTCCAGAAAGAAATTCTATTCTTGTTGACAGTGAACTCCAACATGCACGTGCTGAGGCTGGATACAAAGCATTGAAGTTGGATGCTGAAAAGGCTAATCCACAACTCGTCGTACTCTTCACTGATCTTCAGCAAGTGTTGTACTGTCCAACATTGACTCATTCTTCAGTGTTCTACCAACGTCAGTATGCCACTTACAACTATGATATTCACGATGCAGGTTCAAACGATGTCACTATGATGTTGTGGCATTTATCTATTGCTGTGTTACATAACTTTCGTCCATTGAACTCAGGAGAAATAAAAAAACTCATAGTCTGGTCTGACCGATGCGTCGACCAGGATAACTGGAAACTGCTGTCCATGTTACGTTTGCTGATTGTGAATAAATATTTCACTCAAGTAGAACAAAAGTTCTTAACTAGCAGTCACAGCTTCTTACCTTGTAACCGTGACTTTTTGCTCATAGAGAGAAAAAAAAAAAAAAAAAGAGCAATGGTGAATGTACCCTTCGACTGGGTAGCAGTGATTGCCAACTCACGTCCCAGCAAGACATTCAATGTATACTACATGTGGGAACTACTTATGGAAAGATCCCAAATTTAAGATCACTGAGTACCGTTGATTATTCGACAGCGATGAATTAGCATCGAAACTTCTGGAAAAAAATACATACATTTTGGGTACTCTACGAAGCAATAGATAGAACAACTAAAAAACTGTTGTTCAGAAAAAACTAAGACGCGGCGAACATATTGCCGAGGAAAGCAACACAGGAATATTTATAGAGAAATGAAAAGATAACTAAATATGTTCCTGAAATGGTCACTCAGGCGAGAAGGTCTGGCGAAAAAAACCAAGCCAAGAATCATCATCGAGTATACCAAACACAAAGCTTATGGATACCGACATATCCGACCAAATGAAAGCTTACAATTCTTCTTTGCGCCGTGGAGTAAAATGGTATAGAAAACTGGCTATCGAATTTATAGCTGGTTCTTATGTTGTAAACACTTATGTGCTGCATCAACTTATAACTAATGACAAAATGTCTATTATAAAATTACGAGAAGAAGTGATCAAAGGTCTTCTAAAATCTGCAGATCTACCAAATTTCGAGGACAACCAAAAAAAAGTCACAATCCTGAGGATAGTCAGAAGAAGGAGTCTTGTAGGGAATGCTACGCCAAAATTTCAGAGGAATCAAGGCGTCAAGTTGCCAAAAATAGGGCCTCCACGGCCAGAAGGCATTAAAATGTTTAAGCAGAATGGGGGATCACGTTGATCCCCCATGGCAATGTACGTGTTAATTTATTTTTATAATAAAATTATCAATGAGTCGTACCAAGTTGAATCTCTAAAATTTTTCTAAGTCTATATCAATTTTTACTTAAAAAAAACACCCAAACTCTCTGGTCCGCATAAGTTACGACATCGAACAACTGGATAGCATACTCCAAACCCATATAAACTGTGTACTCGGGTGAGAACATGTCTGTACATTAGAAAATTGATAACATAATGCCAATCGGTGCCCATCGCGTTATACGTTTTGAATTGAGATAAATAGCCAACTTAGAATAAACTTCAGAATGCTATTGTGAGCAATATGCATGTAAAAATCTCGATAATCACTTGTACTAATTTCAAGAGAGTTGTTTTTATAAGTTAAATTAGATTTTAATACCGTACCAAGTATTAGAACTTAATAACGTACTTATTCAAAAATGTCGGCGATTGTTACCTTGATGTTCTGTAAATATCCAAAATGCAAATTCAATTATAATTTCATCATAACTAAATATCGTCAGAGATAAAGAGAACAAGGTCTTAACATAATATGATCTTGACGAAAGAAAAATAGAATCGTAACATAACTGTTTGTGACGCAAGACTTTAAATAGCTGAAAGTTCAGCTCTAATATATCATATTTATTTAACGAGATGTGACTATATTTTAATTTATTAAATTTAAAACATAACTGTTTCATTCCAAGCTAATATTAAAATATACTTTATCTATACAATACTGAAAATGTAGGAAGTACTTAAAACATGTAATAAATATATGAGGTATTAGATATAGATATAGATGAGATGTTTACAAAATAAGAACATACATATATTGGATTAGAATTAAACAGTTTCGATTTTAAAAGCTAGGGTTTAGGTTAAAACCTCGGCAGTTGATTTTAGTCCTTGTTTGAATGGATCGTTTCACTTAATCATTTACACATCAATCTCTTCTTATGAAAGTTCTTCCACTGAAAATAATTACAATTAATATTTAAGTACAGATTTTAATAAAAATAAAACGTAACACAAAAATATTGGACATAAGAAATGTTAACTTTACTTCGCTACCATTGATTTATTGCTACCTGTTTGCAATCACCTGTTGATGACACTGTGATAAATAAAATCGATTGATGTAAATAATTTACTAAGAAATGTCAATAATGGATGCCATGCTATAAGAACCTGTGGTATAACTCTAGCAGTTATATAGGAGAGGACTTGAAAGATCAAACTTCATATGGGATTGATCATATAACAAGACAAGAACTAATAGAGGCGATCACAACTACAAAGTCAAGAAAAGCAACAGGAGTGGTCCAATTAAACAACAACATTATATTCAAAATACAGATGCACTAGGAATAAACATAATCACGCTAAGGCACAAGAAGCCATAGGTGTACGGCTTTGTTTTCTATTACCTTATTAACACTTAGTAGAGGTGCTACTTGTTTTAGCTTTTAGCAAGATTGACATTCAGTTTGTTGCAAGTTTAATAGTGAACGTTGCTTGTTAATCGTTGAATTTATTTTTTTATTTTTTACTTTTATTTCCTAAATTGGTTCTTAGTTTTTAAATAACTATTAGTACTATTTTTTTTATTTTACTTCAACCACTTAGGGTTATTAGCATAAGAAAAATAAAAACAGTGATAAGGACATACGTAGGCATACAAAATATCAATTATATAATAAGGTACAATATATATTTTAATTACTGATGTAATGTGTGTATAGATTTTAAGAATTCTATCAAATCAGCTAATTATTTAGATTCTCCTAGAAGTTCTTTTAATGTTTTTGGAATGTGTTGATATAGTCTTTCAACTGAGTATATTGGACAGTTAATCAAAATGTGCTTCACTGTCACTTTACATTCACAAACAAAACACACTGGTTCCTCTTCTCTCTTCAACAAGTATTCATGTGTTGTAGAAGTGTGTCCTAATCGGAGATGTGTTATTAGGACTTGATGTTGTCGCTTTCAAGCAAGAAGTTACATGGAAGGACGGAAGAATTAATTTTTATTCATTTAGTGATGCTTCCATTCCATTGGTTTTGCCAAACATCGTGCAATTTTAATTTTAAGTAAGGTTTTAAATCTAAATGCACCGTGAGATTTTCGACTGATGCGGCTGAATCGGTTACTGTGGACCTAGCTAAACTATCTGCCTTTTCGTTACCATCTATTCCAACATGTGACGGTACCCAGAGGAACTCTACTGTTAAATTTTTTTGGTATATACGGGATAAGATTAACTTAATCTGCTGTAATGTTGGATGAGGGGGATAAATCTGAGAAATGCATGTCAGGCAACTAAGTCGATAAGATATAAGAGATTTGGGAAGTTTTTTTCTAGAATAAAGGTTAGGGCCTTAATTATGGCAAATAGTTCTGCTGTAAAAATACTTGTCTCAGGAGACAATTTATAGATGGAATGTTCATGTGATATCACAAAGCATGCTCCTACTCCATTTATGGTCTTAGATGTGTCGGTGTAAATAAAATGGTAAATTTTTGTACTGCGTGAAAACAAGGAAAAAGTGCATTTTAAAAAAATTGGATATCACGTTATTTTTGTTATATGCTGTAAGCTTAAGGTTACAAAGCGGAGAGGGACACCCCAAGCAAAACATAAATTTATTTCACAGGTAGGATAAAGGGAGATAAACAGCATTGATGAAGAGCTGAATTTTTGGGTTAGATTTTATATTCGAGACATACGATAGAGTTAAGTAGACTGTCCACAGGACTGGTGCAATATGCTCCAAGAGCAAGTCTAACGACTGAACTCTGAAGAGTATCCAAAGTTTTGAGCAATGTTTTGTTTGCGGAGTTATACACAACATATCCGTACTCCAGTTTTGATCTAATTAAGTATATAAATTTATTAGATTTGGAAAATCTGCTCTCCGATTATATTTCTTTTGTATATTCTATAGGAGAATTGTATATAAAAATAAATTTGGGAGTTTTTGTGGATTTGATTATCGTGGAAAATGTATAGCTTTTATTTTATGTGGTGGAAAACTTAACTTAACTTAAAAGCTGCAACGTAAGTTTTTATTTCTTGCTAGTATTACCTGTATTTTATTCTTGTTTTGTTATGTGAAATAAGTAGGTATGGTGTTTTTATAGATTAATATTCATATAATTATTTTTAAATATCGGCAATTTCAATTTCAATTGATAATAAGTATACAAAAATAAAAAAAAAGTTCAGCACAGACACTGCTGGCAAGGTTGCCGATATAACTCTCAGTCCTCCAAGAAAACGAACAAAAAAAATGCAACTTCGATGTCAAAACGAAAGGAATTATTAATATAATAATTTTTGAAGAATTATTCTTTCTGACCTTTGAATAGGTTTTGCTTTGAAATTCCGTTTTCCTTATGACTACTAAATGATTCGGTATGCAGTTAATTACTACACCTGCGCGACAAATTTATTACAACTCAAGCATGTTACACAGAAAAAACAATAAACAATTGAAAAAATTTGAAAATCTGCAAAGAAACAAAATTTTTTTTTTAAATATTAACATTTTTCATGGAAAATATTTAGTAGTGTGTATTACCTCCACGAGCCCTAATTACAGCTTTCATTCTATCAGGCATACTTCGGATTAAGCTCTATTGGATTAAGTCTGCACTCCTTGGTGGCCATGGTAATAAACGAATCCTAAATTTATCCAAGTAATCCCGTGTTATTCTTGCGATGTGCGGACGAGAATTATCTTGCATCAGATGAAAGTTTTCTCCAACAAATAGGGCAAATGGAACTACATGATTTTCCAAACATTGCTGAGCATACAGTTGAGCGTTCAAATTGACCCCTTGATTTGTAATAAGTTCTGTATGAGCCTCCAGGAAAATGCCTGCCTGCACCATTATACCACTTCCACCAAATTGAACTCTCGGAGTAAAACAACATTACTGATAACGTTCACCACCTCTTCTCCATATCCTAGGCCGCTTATCTGATGAGTATCTGTTAAATCTTGATTCATCCGTGAAAAGCACAGCACTCCAATAGTCAACACCCCAATTAAGATGTTCGCGAGCGAAATGTAAACGTTGTCTACGATGATCTGCTGTTAATAGAGGTCCCGTGACAGGTATTCTAGACCTCAATCCATATTCATTTAAGCGTCTTCAAACGGTATAAACAGAAACTGTGTTTCTATGGACATTATTTAATCGTTGAACAAGTACTGGTGCTGATAATGTACGATCGCATAACGCTTGTGGTAATTTTCAACTTAACTTGTGGTTCTTAGTCTACCTTGATCTGGCCTCCTGGTGTATTGTCCTGTTTCCCGAAGCTTTGTATTGCATCAAACACTGTACTTCGAATGTTATGTCCATCATCCTGTAAACTAACAGCTTGTGCTACTTCTTCTGGTGTCATAATTTTTTTAATGCAAGTTTTAAACAGGAGACAATACAAAAACCGACAGCGGAACTTATAATCAGGCACAGCACCAAAATAAACTTAAATTAATGCTAAGAAAAAAACGTTATCGCTAATAAGGCATAAAATACAATTCAAATAAATTAAACAAGTTTTCATCTAAACACCAAAAAAAAAAATCTGAATGTCCGGTTAATTTTGCACCCCAGTGTATTATTTATATATTTACATAAAACGATTATATTGATCACAGTTATTAAAACTATTAGTAATAAATCAATGGTAGCAAATTATTAGCCATAAATCAATGGTAGAACAACTAACCCGCTTCTACTAATAACTATGAAGTCATATGGATAGCACTCACCTAATAGTCTTTTTATCTGTACTCTTATTCTCAGGTCTAGCCCTATTTAATACTTTAAGGAAATCTGAAGTCTTTGCACGCATCCTACTGTGAATGTATGCCTTGGAACACTTGATGTGGTAGTGCAAATAATGTCTGAACATGTGAATTAAGTTAATAGTGTTATCACGAGTACTTCTTGCCGTATGTCTTGGAAACAGGACAAAGGTTACATAACCTAAAATAGAAATAAAAGTTAGTGATGGATTCGAGCGTTACTTGATAAAAATTCATTTTATGTAACAATAAAACACTGAACACTATTGTTTTTAAAACTTCCACAAAATTTATTATCGCTACAGCTGTTTCGGCAGAGTGCCTTTCTCGAGTGATCTATTTTTGGTATGCATTTACACTTTATAACTGAATAAGTTGAGGAGGGGAGAACTGTTTGTCTCAAGTTGGTCATTTAGAATTATGTCTGTTTTTAATTTGCTAATTTCCATATATTCTAATAAAGATAGTTAGAGGCCTTTATTTTGAATGTGAAGAATTTGGAATTGTTCAATAAAAAGATGATTATGATCTAGAAGGTGAAGTACGTACGTAGAATCTGTTTTTCTAATATTAAAAGCCCTTTTGTGTTCTGCTATACGTTTGTTTAAAGTTATACCAGTTTGTCCGATGTAAGTTTTTGGACAATTTCCACATTTAAGTTTGTATACACCACTGTGCAAGTTCTTTTTCTTTGGTTCTTAATATATTTGCCTAACTTGTTGTTTGTTCTAAAAGCTGGTGTTATTCTTTTCTTTTTTATGTGTTTGGCTATTTTTGTTGATATCTTGCCCGTATATGTAACGGAGCAGAAGGTACTTGGTTTTTTCTCTGGTGGTGGAAATACTAGTTTCAGAGCTTTCTTATTTAGTTTTTGATTAAAAATTTTATTTGTTTGTTCGTTGTACCCATTGTTTACTGCTATAATAGTTGTGTTTAATGATATTCAGTTCTATCTCGAAGCTGTGTTTTGACATGGGAATTTCTATTAATCTATGGCAGCTACCACAGCATGTTACATAAGTCAATTGGTCATTCCCGGCATAGCCTGCTAGTCAAGCTGCATTAAGTCACACATTTTGGGTGAACACAGTCATAAGAGGTGAACTTTATATATATATATATATATATATATTTATATATATATATATATATATATATATATATATATATATATATATATATATATGCTGGATAATTGATCCATTAATCTAAACTTAATCTTAATCTAACTAAAATTAATATTCTCTGCAAAATTCAGCTTTGTTCGTATGACTTTTAGGATCAACTCTCTGACGACTGGACTATATTGGTTTTTTGCTTGTATCTCCATTCTGAAGTTCTGGCTGCTCGGTATTAAGATAAGCTGGTCTATTTTTTTTACATTTTTTGTTTAATTTCTGGACAGAACCATGGGGTTTTCTTTACCGTTTTATTGCTGTTGCTACGAACTGTTCTCGTGCCAAGAGCTTCATACGCTGCATCTTTATTGTTTCTCCAGAGCTTTTCTCAACTGAGATCAATTGCATCCTCCTTCGTCATTGGCATTGCTTTAATTTCTTCTTTCAATCTCTTCTCATAAAGCTCATTTATTGGAGCACCAAATTAGTTTCTCTACATTATTTTTTTCTTTTCAGCTGTTGGATATAATTTTTGATCTCTAGTGTTAGATGTTTCGACGAGAAGGTAGACACCTAGGTTATATTGTAGCCAGTAATGGTGTAACAACTGACATGCATACATTATTAACTATTCTCTAACGGAGTTACTAAAATTTTTTTTTAAGAAACGTTTGATAAGAACAATTTTTATTTCAGTTTTTAGTAAACACCAAAATTGAATACAAAAATGTACAACTGAATGATGATAACAAAAAAGATACGTGCATTGAACCACAAATATGATAAACAAACTCTAAGGTTTTAATGATGAAACGCACGTTATCTTAAAATTGTCCACAAATTTCCATGTTTTTTTAAATTAAATCACTATTTAATGAAAACCTAAAAGAATGCAGTCGAACGAAGTATTTTTAGAATAAAATACTTTTACAAAAATAAATAGATTCATATAAAAGATATACCCAGATATGCCCAATACATACGAAGTGGATTTATACAGTATAGGTAAAAGTTTATGGTCGGTATGGTAGAATTGATATATAACACAGATATAAAATCATATTTTCAGCGAATAGACAAAGAAAACAAATATATTTCTCCATAGTCGCCCCTCCACATTTCTTAGAAATGCTCATTACTTAGAAACAGCGACAGGGTTGCCTTATTACATATTTGAATTAAAACATTGAATTGATTTAAAAATTGGCGATCAGTGGTGAGGTTATATTGCCATTCAAAACTTAACGATGATATTAAAAATGAAACATTAATTGACACAAATACTGGTCCAAAATTTCTAAAATCCATGAAGAATTTACAGATTCGCATTTTTATTTGACGAAATTGTAACCCAATTTTGAATAATATAAAATAATTTTGGCAACATCGCCATTCGTCTAGACAGGCTGACAGCTATGCTGTCGGCCTGTCGACAGCTATGTATTTCTTTTTGGAGGCAACTTTGTAAGTGTGAAGATAAGAAATAAATATGCCGACTGTTTATAAACCAGAAGAACGGATACAAATAATAAAATGGTACTGTGGGGGCAATTCAGTACAAGAAACTATCAATTTCTTTATTATGGCTTTTGAAAATAGGCCAATACCCATAGAAAAAACAAGAAAATTTCTCAAGAAGGAGAAATTAGATAAATTCAAGTTTGTGCATTGGCTGAAGCGACGCCGTGTTCAAATAAACAAATTGCCGATGAAGTTGATTTGAATGCAAAAACAGTAAGGAATATTTTGAAAAGAAACAACTACCATTGTTATAAAGTGCAGACAACTCAAGAAATATTTCCTGATGATAAATTTAAACGGATGCAATTTTCTGAAATTATGATGGAGAGATGCCATACAAATAACTTTTTAAAAAATATTTTGTTTGCAGTTGAGTCCTCCTTCACAATTTTCAAGAAACATAATTCATCCGCTGTACGTTATTGGTCTCAGGAGAATAAGCATTTGAGTGTGTCTGTGCGTACGCAGTATTCACAAAAATTGAATGTTTGGAATGGAATTTTGGGAGACCATATTATTAGTCCTTTTTTCATTGAAGGCAATTTTAAACGCAGTCAAATATCTCCAATTACTGCAAAATCAAATTATTCTTGCACTTCAACGGCTTCAAATTAACTATTTATCGTTAATTGTTGCCGAACTTGTCATTAGTACAGACAGTACAGACAATGGTCACCTGAGTTAGCTCCTCTAGATTTTTATTTTTGGGGGATGCTAAAACCAAAATTGTACAAATATGAGTTCGAGCGAGCCACCAACTTGGAGGAACTAAAGGAAAAGATAATCCAACTTAGCCAAAACATATCGGCAGATGAACTCAACGGGATGAGGAATGCTTTGTATAATAGATTTGGTTATTGTTTGTTACAATTTGGTGGTCTGTTTAAACATTTACCTAAGAATTTAGTTTAGAATTTCTAATTGTTTGGAGCTATTTTTAATTTAAACAGTAGTAATGGAATTATTTTTTATTTGATTTCATTTTTATAGAACAAATTTTATACTAATTTTATCTTTTTTTGTTTCATTTTTATAGAACTAATTCTTATTTTCACACTTACTACTCACAAAAAATCTAAACGAAAATATAGTTTCAAAGATATTATTTGGAAAATAACAAATGTCTTTTTTTAATTAAAAGACGTAATTTTTCGTCCAGTTTAAATTTAATACAATACACCTGCTCCCTTCTAATGGTTTACTATTTTTTTTTTATAATACTGACCTGACGTACTGACTGTGTGTTTATTTATTATGCTTTATAAAAGAACAACTTACTACCGTGATATACGCATGACATATCACAGAAATAGTGCTGATCTGTAGAGATGAGCGTTGAATCACTGAACTGTTTTATTCAACCGTTTATTTGTCGTTAATGAATCTACGGTTTCTCATTCTCACTGAGGAGCCAACTACTTGATGTTGTTCTGAAGCTGAAATCTTTATTGATATTTCGTTAAAGAATTTATTTATTGTAAACATTCAATTAAGAAGTCTTTTTCTTAGTTAAAATCATTTACCTAGTACAAGCGTAACAATAGCATTTTCAAAAAATGCACATTTGTAGAGGATGCAGCTTTTATGCTCGACTTTCTGAATTTTGCAATGATCGATTATTTTTAATTTGAAAATATTAACACATAAATACATAACACGTTTTATATTATTCAGCAAATTAAATTTTTATTTAGAGTTGCGTTTTTGTCTAACGTAAATATAAATTTATTCTGTGGGTACTAAATATTTACTTTATTAACTATTTGTGTGTAACATGTCTGCGCGTAAAGATGTTAGTATTTTATGGCATCACTTTGAGAAAGACATTAACAGTGAGAAGGCTGTGTGCAATATTTGCAAAGAAAAACTTAGTTATAAATCAACTACAGCAAATTTGAAAAGCGGTTGAAAGTATTTCAGTATATTTTTCTATGATTCAAGAAAGCATGTTTGTTTATGTACTCGCTTAAATATTTTAATAAGTTTTTCAACTTGTTACTTGTTTACGAAAAGCGGTTCAGTTTCGTTAACGATAAAAACGTCAACGACTCACCTCTACAGTTTTTCTCGTTACTGCAGTCAAAGAACTACGAACACAGTTCCACAGTTCGTAGTTCTCTGCTAAAGTGTCCGTACCATAAGAACTCGCCGTCGCCAAATAATTTTGTAAGAAGCTTTTTTATTGTGGTGTCGTATTGCAGTTTATTATTTTTATTAGGAATAAGGCACAATGTGACTTTAAAATAAGCTTATTTTGATGTTTAGATTTCCAATTCAAAAATCGTACTTAAAATACGAAACATTAACAAATTTTACTTACATAAAACGATTTCCGAAGTGGAAATCAAATGTTAAATTAAACTCATTGCAAAGAGAAATTGTGGCATATTTAAAATAAAAAACAGTAAGCTGCCATTTAAATCAATTCGTCCAAATTTGATTATCATAGAACGTTGTTAAAATGCTAAAAAGACAACAGGTCAAATAAAATTAATAAGTTTGGCAAAGTTGAACTTATTCTCTTCTCTTAGTTCACTAATGCTCTCTCTTTTTACATAGGTGTTTCTCACTCCATCTCACGTAAGGTACATACCGACCATAAACTTTTAAATACACTGTATACTGAAAACTTGATGGACAAATACCAAGTGGGCTTCAAACTGAAGAGATTAGTAATATATCACACATTTACTCTAAAGAAAATACGAACTAGTGGTCCCTAATAACTAAATATACTGTATGTAACCTTTGTTTACTCCAAACAGAAATTATTAGAATAGATCGAACTCAAATTTGAAACGAGAGCTAGGAATATCTAACAAGATGACTAATAATTTAAAATAAACCCGGGATGAAGTATTATGGAAATGAAAAATCTCTAAAATGTATTTGCAGTAGAGATCCGTTATCAACATCAATGGAGCTCTTTAATATAGTGTTAAAAGTAATAATTATAAAATGTATAGTTGAATCTAAAGTAACAATAATTAAAATTAACCATCGGCGTATAGCGTTCGCGGACGATTTAACAGTAATAGTAAAAAAACAAAAAGCATCTGAAACTGGCTAATGAAGAATACATGAACATGATAGAAATATAATGGACTAAAAAGACTACATATAACACATCTTAAGTAGGTAAAAACATAAGGTATATATAGGGTATAAGATGGTAAAGGAGGTTAAGAAATGAATGCCAGAATTGCCAAGAAGAGCGGAAATATGGAATGACGAGAAATTTCGATTAAAAAAAAAATCAGAGAGGCAAAGTATAGCGATGGGAGAGGAAAATGTCAAGAACAATATATGAAGGTTGGATAAGAACAAATAAAGAGCTAGAGGCAATTTATAATTAATCTAAAACACTATTAATCTGGAAAAATATTCTGATTCGGTTTTTTACACAATTTTGCTTTAAGGTACTATTACCGTCTATTAAGATGAAACATTTTTAACAATTTTTTTTGTATCTAATCTATTGCAATTTATGCAAATCAACTTTTTTTATATTATTCCACAACTTTTAAAGATTATAAAGAATTTTTTGTTTTTTTTGTTTTTTCATTATTCGTGTATTTTAAAGAAGGCGTCAAAAATTTTTCGTCAAAAAAGTACTTCTCCATGACGGACAGCTAATCTCTTGAACGGCAAATTTGAAATATAGTTTATTCTCGAAACATTGAGAACGGTTTTAAAAAAAAGTAGTGTCCTTACGTGATAGTTTACCAGAAAAATTGTAAATTCTTAAAAAAAAAAACAAAATGTGGGACATTTGAAAAGCTGTTCAAAAATTTATTTTCGTTTTTTATCACATTTTTTTTTGTTAAATTGTGGTAAACTATCATAGAGAAAACCAAAACAAACAAAATACATCAACGTATATCGACCGACTAGATCCGATAGAAAACTATCCGCCAGTTTTAAAAACGTAGTTTTTCTCACAATCTTTAACCTCCGGATCTAATCGGTTCTATGTCTTTTTCTTTTTGTTTAAAGTTTTGAAGGCCTCTTGCAATATTAAATTGTTTTGTATTTATTTTCTACCTCAGTTAGCATCATTGTCATTTTGAAACAGGAGAATAGATTTCAGGTATGTAAATAAATATTAAAGAAATCTTATAAAAATTTCAAAACGGTTCTTACCAACATTATTATCCACTTTGGCATCCGTATTTTGCAGTTCTAGTGGTGGTTCTCTATGACTAAAAAGGACGGGGGGAGCAGTGTGGGACGCCCTCAAGCCTTCTTTTAATTCCTGCATGAATACTTTTCCGATGACTACATCGTCTTCGTCTCGAAACCGCGTTGAAAAGACTACCGTTACTCTATCTGCTTTCGCTTCTACGTATCTGTAAAATATAATACATGTTTGAGAAAACCTACACTGGTAGAGCACTCCCAACAAATGACCAAGTATTGTATTTTTCTCTTTTGATTATGCTGAGTAATTCTTTTTATTTACTCATGCGCTGAAGTACTTCACCATTGGTAACTTATATAATAGGTTGTACTAATATAACTTGTAAATTGGCTATAGAAATAATTCATTTAGAATGGAACATAGGGTAAATTAATAGTTTATTATAGAAGGATATCTTTTTATCAAAGGTAAAAAACCACTTTCATTAGTAGCGCTTGGTAGTGCAAAGATACAGTTTATATAGATGTAGATATATGTTTTAAGGGATTGGTGCCAAGCCATAAAAACGTTGGCGCCAACATTGACTACAACACAGTTTTGACGGTACACACATTGGACGAACGCTGGCCTCCATGTGTGGGGCCGATGTAAAAGAGGCAGATATTTGTTCCAAATATATTTTATTTAATATGATTCAACCAACGAAAAATTTGATAACCAAGGCAAATAATAAAATTATTTATGTGATTGCAAAATATTCTGAACTGATTAATAGCATATAATTAATATGATTTGGTATTTTAAACTTTCAATATTTTATGTAAACAAACTAACAAATGACCACAGCAAATGTTTAACTATGCACACCGACATAAATGTAATTTGAAAGAGTCTTGGGATAAATACCCTTCCACTAAACCTTCAACTGTTGACGTGATATAATCTTGCCATACCTAAATGGTGACGTGGGGTCTAACCGTATCCCAACCTTATACAGTCATAAAAAACCAATGAAAGCATTGATTTTGTCACACAAAAAATAAAAACAGTTTTAATAAGAGTTTATTAAAAAAATTAAAACATAATTTGGAAATAATTTTAACTTTAAACAAAAGTAAGAGTATTTTTTGTTATAGGTGAAAAATGATCAATAAATTTGCACTCAACAGATTATTCATAAAAAATTATACAAACAAACAAACATTTTACCAACATTCATCATCATCATCAGTAGCTTGACAGCTTATATGTTTTGGTGTTTCAGTCTACAACATCCGTTCAACATGACCCATCCAGCGTAGAAGTCCGATCTTTATAGATGTTATGATCTCGGGTTCATTGTATGCTGTGTATAGTAAGTTATATCTTCTGCGCCATATGTCATTTTTCTTTACCCCCTTATCTTATTTTAACAACATTCGTTTTAGAAATTAACTTAGATACGTACGCCTTAGACATATTATAATTAAAATATAAAATATATTGTTTAACAAGAAAGTTAAGTTACTCAATTGTACAATCCTTACACACTTTTCATGTACATTCTAAACAAATAGGTACCATACAAAACTTGCAAGTCATAGAAGTTTTTTATCCTTAATCTTAGGACATTTTCCACATAGTCTTCTTTTTATTACCTGCAACAGGAATCGTCACTACTGGGATTGATTCTTGTAAAATTGAACTAATTATTGATCTCAACTCTCTAGGCAAATGATAGTAGGTCAATCGTCGTATCATATGCGGCGTTAGCGTTATTAAATTAGTACCTAATTATTTAATGAATTGAAATCTTAAACAGTTATCCTGTTTTGTACAAGTGTATAAAACATACGAGTTTACTAGAGATATACTTAGCAACTGATAAAAAATAGCCATAGGCCACCTTCTTGTTTTTCGATGCATAGATGAAAACATTAACATATTGTTTGCGATCATTATTTCAGCATGACTTCCGTCGAATCCACGTGAACTATGGAACAAGTATAAGCATGACATGTCAGATGACATGTCATGCTGCGCATGGCCTGCGCAATATCATACCTGTTATTCTTTGTACCATAGTCAGTACCAATACCCAGCAATTGCTTGGAGAAGTCTTCGGCATAAAGATCGTTCAGCAATGCAACTTTCTTGCTTGTCGTCAGTTAGTTTCATTGGCTTATTGCGCACTTCCTTCTATTGTGGATTCAACATTGGTACATTCGTTTGAACTAAACGCTTCAATGCATCTCGATCATAGTCACTATTACGTTTTCGATTGAATCCGTCGCCCAATTCACCACTTGGCGATGACATTCCTGATTTGACTTACAAATTGCTGAATATGCTGTAATAAATGTCTTCTGTCACAAGCAAAGCCTGGTTATGTATTCCTAATACACCTCTAGATTGGGATTCTTTTGAACTGACACGAATTCGGTGTAAAATGTCATCTGACATCATCATCATCATCATTATTTTGGCTTTACAACCCTGTGTGGGTCCTAGCCTCCCCAAGAATTCTCTTCCAGTCGACGCTATCCATCGCCTTCCTCCGCCAAGCACGTATTTCCATATTTCTCATATCTTGGTCTAGATCAGGGGATTTTACCATCAGTATATTATGCAAACTTTTATTTTGTTATGCGATATGGAGTAATCTTGTGGTTACTGCAGTAGATAGCTCAACTGTCTTTATAGTCCAAAAAAAAAGCAGTCCGGGTGATCTTAGGACTATACGCGGGAGAATCTGTAGAGGCCGATTCAAATCACTCAATATACTCACTTTCTAAGCCATCTATATATTTGAATGTATTATGTTCCTTTTTAAAAATTTTTCTTTGTTTCATCACCTGCTTCCCAATCATGAATATATTACAAGAAGCCTTAATTTGAATTTGCCACTTCACAGATTGTCTATAACAGAGAGAAGTCCTTTGTATGTGTGTGTTAAATTTTATAATAGTCTACCATCTGACATTCAACAAGAAACACACTATAGAGCTTTTAAAAGAAAGGTTTGTCAACACCTAGTTGACATTGAGCGGAGCTATACTGTGGCGGAGTGCCTGACCTATCCTTCTCCTTGATCAGCATATTTAATTTGTAATGTTAATATATTTTAAATGTGTGATGTCAATATATATATATATATATATATATATATATATATATATATATATATATGTTTTTAATCTGTAATTAATAATGTGACGTTATTTGTTCAATTATGTTAAAAATTTATGCAAATAAAAATTTACTCTACTCTACTCTTCTCGAATTATACTCTATGAAAGATAAAAGAGGAAGTATTGTTTTAAGTAGTGGTAAAGAAAAAAAATTCACAAAAATACAGAATATGTATAACTTTTTCCAGATTACTAGATAAATTCGATTTAAGACATGTTTTTTAAGATTGGTTGTTATCACTGTTTATCAAACCTAACCCATAACTTTCCAAAACATTTGTGCGGATTTTAATGTTGTTATCAACATTTATAAAAAATTGATAAGGAGTGTATTACTCAATAGATCTAATATTTATTAATTATATCATCGTAACAATATAAGACAACAAATACTCACATGCATTATTGGACTTTTTAATGCAGACCAAATAATAAATAATCAACAAAACCAAATTTAAAACGGTTTATAGACACATACACATATATGCTGACCCGGCGAACTTCGTACCGACTTAGAATTAAATAACGTGTCTAAAAAATTAACAGAAAATAAAACCAAAAACAATTATGCATGAAAATAGTTAAATCAATTTAATTTTTTCTGATGAAAATATTTTTTTTTTTGTTAAATAAATATAGATCGATGACGGTTTTCCAGAAGAGGTCAGACAGTTGATCAAGCGATCAAGTGTACTAATGCCAAAAAAACTCCAGGCCCGGACCATATTACGAATAGAGTTCTGTAGAATCTGCCAGCAAAAGCAATAGTATACATAACACATTTAATCAATAACATTCTAAAGTTAAGGCATCTTCGTTGCAGATGGAAGGAAGCTCACGTAATAATGATCAAAAACTAGGGAAAATGGCACATTTCCACATAATTATCGGTCAAAAAGCTTATTACCAGCAATAAGCAAAATTGAGGTACGGGTTATACTAGCTAATCTCAAAGAGGAATCAGAAGAAATCGGAACAATACCTGAAGCACAGTTCGGATTCAGATCCGAAAACTCATGTGAACTTCAGGTACTGCGTCTAGCAGAATATATCACAAAAGGGTTCAACGAAAAGAAATATACAGCAGCGCCTTTCTAGATGTCAGTAAAGTATTCGACACAGTGGCAAGAAAGCCTGCTATATAAAATGAACCAATACGGCTCTAATGAGGCAATGACATGTCTTCTTTCGTCATACCTAGCCGACAGGAGGTTCAGACTTCGGACTTCGTTCAGTTTGGATAGGGCCAACCCTGTCCCCTGTCCGAAACCTGGTGGAGGCTGGTGTGCCACAGTGAGCGGAGACACCCCAATCGAACCAAGATCGTTAGTATATACGCAGACGATACAGCGATAGCTGCTAGCAGTATCAACCCAGATCTAGCAATAAGAGTGCTACAAAGGACACTAAACGAACTACAAGATCGGTGTGTACAGTGGAAGATCGCTGCCAACCCTGACAAAACACAGGCCGTCATGTACCAAAAAAGAAGAGGCGGACCAAATCAGGTCCTATCCCTATTTGATACGCAAATCGAATGGTCAAATCAAGCCGAATATCTAGGCGTAACGTTGGACACAAGCTGGCCTTCACAGAATACATGAAACAAGCAGTGCAGAAAGCTAAAATAAAGTCAACTCTCATCATTAATAGATCGGAAGAGTAAACTGAGATTCAAAACAAAGATTAGGATGGCAATCTGTATAATTTTGCCAACACTAACATACGTCTCGGCCGCATGGAGACACACTTGCAAATCCAACAGAAACAAAATACAAATTTCTAAGTTCTGAGAACAAAAATTATTTTGCCAATTCGGCGGCTGAGTGACGGAGCGCAACAATCCGGGCGGGGAGTTACGATGCCGTATGGCACCATACGGTGCCATACGACACCGAACAGAATTAAAACCAACGACTGGAATAAGTTGAAAATAAAAATGTTTCTCTGATTATGAATGCCAAGGAGAGTTTGCGAGAAGTAGAAGATTGTACTAACTTTATCCCTAATCTAAATATGGTAAAATCAATGGAAGATTCAAAATTGTATAGAAATATTAACCAAAAATTATAAAGAAAAAAAAAGCCTGAGTAGTTACGCCTAATGTTTAAGAAATCTCTATATGTAGTAAATGTAAATAAACAGAAAGTGATTAAAACAAATCCTTTATTATTTTGAAAAAGGTTAGAAAGGATTTTTGTCAAGACTCCTGGTTTCATAGTAAAAATAGGATAAAAAAACGGAAAATAAGTAATCACGACATCTACCAATTTAACATTTAAACCGCATATTTGTAATAGAGGGGCACTACTGTTCTCTCACGCTGTGCTTACGCCAAATATATTAAAGCCAAAGCATAAACCTTTTTTTGCAATGGGGCATGTGTAGTTTTTAGTAAATTTACGACCTGGTTGTTGGTAGATACTCTAAAATATATACCGTTACACTGTTTGCAGATATTTCATGTATTATAAACCAACAAAATATAGATATAGTATTTTGTAAAGTCAGTTGAAATACCTAAAAAAACTGGTTGCGCTCAAACATTAAAAATTATATCATATTGCGAGACACGGGCGCATCATTTATTTATATATTCAAACATAGATTAATGAGAAACAGAATAAGGACAATCTTAATGTACATAAAACAGTCTTAAAATACATAAGTCTATAAAAAAGTTGTCAGTATGTCATATTTAACAACAAAAATAATTTAATATCATACATTATGTGTCAATGAATAATAATATTAACAATTGGTACTCTAAGGCAGTTAAAAATTTACTGATAAATGTATGTCTGTAAAAACTACTAAAATCTACTAAAGATTTTTTCCCTACTAAAGATTTAGGTAGAAAATCTACTAAAAAGAAACATTTTTCTAGTAAATATGGTCACTCTGTCTGCAAGTTTATTTCTTAAAAGTTAATATGTTTTAATTATGAATCTGTTAATCAGTTTTTACTCATCTGGAAATTTTATGGCAATAATACTAAAATTGTAATCAGTCATTTTAATGCTTGCATAATTACTGTTTTAATGTAAAACAGGATTTGTGGTGTCTTTTGAATATAGTAATATTAGAAAACGGTAAATATTTACTATACATGGCTATATTTGTTTCAATTTAATTTTCCCATTTCTAGGAAAAACTTTATTTAAAAAAAAAACTTTTTAAGAAAACTGAACAGAAATTTTTAAGAAAATCAAGAAAATTTCTACTTTAATCCAATTTTTAGAAAAATAAAGCATATTACACACGGCGCGATAATGTGATAAAAGCTTCTTGGTTCTGTAAAAGCTTAATATCCCAATCACAATATGGTTTTCAGGGCAAAATATCAACTGCAACAAACTTGGTTTGCTATCAATCTAATATATTATTTCAAATAGAAGACTGTAAAAAGGTAGATGCAATATACACAGATTTTTCCAAAGCATTTGACTGTATACATCCCCAAATACTTTTGGGCAAATTAATTAATGTAGGCTTTCATGTCAGGTTTGTTGAATGGATTAAAAACTCTACATCTGGTAGAAGTCAAAGAGTCAAGATAAGTTGTCACCTGCCTGACAGTTTCTCAGTAACATCTGAAGTTTGTCAAGGTTTAGAATTTTTGTTAACAAGATCACTTCCTGTTTCCTAAATAGCAAATATCTAATTTTGGCAGATGACATGAATTTTTGGAAAGTTATAGATAGTCTGTAACTCTCCAAGACCAAGTCTATTGCAAGATTAACTAGACTGACTACAAAATTGGTGCAATCAGAACAAGCTTCACTTATATGTAAAAAAATGTTATTTTATTGTAATTTTATATCATGTATGTCATTTTATATGTAAGTTTTTCTTGTAAAGTCAATAGAATGGAAACAAGCTATACAACTAATAATCAGTCAACTGAAGATGGCTGATGAGAAGCTTACTTTCTGTGACCACATAAACACTATTTCAATAAAGGCGTCTAAACTTCTCCTTTTCTTACTAGGAGTTGCAAGTACTTTACAATTGATTCAACAAGAGAAGTGTATTGTTCCTAAATTAGAATTATTTTGAAATACTGTTGTTATTTGGTCAGCCTATTTTTAGAACAATATTGATACATTAGAAAGAGTCCAGCATAAGTTATTGAGACATTGTGCTTACCATGTTCACACTACTATTGAAAATCATGATTATTCTCTTATCAAATGACAATTATTATCTTTACCCTGCCTCAAGAACTGCCGTGATATATCAGGAGCTATATTTCTATATAAGATATATAAAACAAATTAAAAGAAAATAGAGAAATATATAAAACAATAAAAAATATCCTAAATTTTCTGGATGGCCTGTTTTCTCTAATGTGCAGTACAGATACCATCAAGCAAAAAGACAAAAGAGGGAATCTAATCCTTATGAAAAGGAGACCAAAAAAGTGGCCTCTAATGGCGGTCATATCCGGAAATGCGAATGCGCCAAATTTAAAGTTTCCGACACTTATTAACAGTAGCTATATAATATTTTTCAGAATGTGTCTTGGACGAGAAAGTTTTAATTAACTATTAACGATAATAATTTAAAATGTGACACAATTGTTAAAAAACTTCAATATAAATAGGATTTCATGTGACATTTGGGACAAACAATAACATAACCCAACTAAATTTGATGTCAAACAAGGAGAGAGACTCTCTTTCCTTGTTTAAAGTGGCCTCTAAAGATCGCACTTCCTGTCTAACAATATTTTTGCCCCACTACCTTTACATTACCTCTTTTGTCTTTTTGCTCAATGACAGATACACAATACACAACCAGAATTTTACTTAAATAAAAATTTAACCATTTAAAGGAGTAAATGACAACATTAAATAAATAAATACAAGATATTATATAATTCATGAAATAAGCAAGAGTAAGTATAGTAATTTACAAAATATGTGTATATTAAAAATACTCTGCAAAATATCTGGTTTTTAAATCATTGTAATCATTTCTAGAAAATATTCTGCAAAATAAAATTAAACTGATTTCTTCAACAGGATTCAAAATTTAAATAATATTCTGATAAAATTATATGAAATATTGTGCTGCATTATATATTTATTATAGGCCATAAATATCACCTGAAGATCAGAGATTTAAGATCTTATAATACAGTACATGCCTCTGATAAGAGATAAACAGATTAAAGTTTCCTAGAAGCGTTAAGGACAAGCGTGCCAAAAGCTAATAAAAAACCATTCCAAACAGAATACAACAAAAAACTTTTTTGACCTCAACCCTCATTTAACAAAATTTAATTGGTAGCCATTGTCTGTAAGAAGCATTTTTGATAGTTTTTTTTTATTTATGCTCCTGTTGAACTTGGCATATCTCATATATTTAATATTACTTTATTGTTATGGGTTTTATTGCAATAATAAACTGTGGTCAAATTTAAAAACTAGGCTTTTAAAACAAAAACTATAAAAATACTCACAGTGTTTCATCATCTCTGTAAGGAATCACAGCTCTTTTTTGTCCTTCATCACCTTTTTCTTGAAAGTCAAAATATTTTTCAAAAACGGAAGCAAAACAATTCCTTTTCAGTAGACCCAACTTCTTAACAAACTCTTGCCAATTATCTGGTATATTTTCTAAATCTAACAACACAGAAACATTGTAACCAGTTTCAGCAGCAATTAGGTATGAACCATACTCTCTTTTTAACAGTTCATCAGCCCCATGTTCTTGAAGTTGTTTATAAAACTTTAGAGATATACTAGTCTAAAAAGAAAAATATACAATGTAGTGTAAGTGAAGTTCTGTGTAACATAAAGTAATTCTTACAAATAAATTTAAAATATATTTTGGAGCTATTTGATCATCTATTATCAGAAATTAATAGAACAATTAAAAAAGTGTTTCCATAGAACTTACTCTTATTTTGGATTTGTCTCCATTCATATTCGATATATGGTACAATACTCCATCGAAATCTGCTACAGTAACATCAATACTTTCGTTTTTTAATCTTAAACAAATAATTATATTAATCAGAAATGATTGTAATCATCTTGTCACAATTTGACTATGACTCATGGGAAGGAATACAAAAATCTAATATGTTATAACAGAACATACACAAGTTAAGTATTATCAGTAGATGATACAGGAAATTCTAATCGTTTAATCTCAACCATTCCCATGAATTTACATGGCTATAAAAATGAAAAAAATATACAGAAATTGAAACAACTTACCCGGCTTGTGCATTTTTAATTTTAACTGTTAACGTCTCTTCAACTACCCTGTTATTTATTTCTAATAGTATCATTTTTAATAATAAATAACTAATTTAAATTTTGTTAAAACCTTTTAACTAGAACATACACTCATGGGAGGTGCAAACTCAGAAGCTGTCTACTCTGCAAACGGGCAGAGGCTATTGACACATGTCAATTGGAAATATGTCAATGCCTTTCATGAGCAATTAATAACAATAAAAGATAAAGATAACAATATTTCTTAAACATTAATATAGCATCTCAATAAGGTTTACTAAACTATTATGACAAAAATACTTTTATTATAAACCAATTCTTATAAATATAATCCAGGAATTTCAGTAGGCTCAACTTATCGTAGATGAAAATAACCGTAACTAAAAAGAAGAAGTAATTTCTTCAACCTTTATTTTTTATTTTAGGTTATATAAATTTAAATTTTTGAAAATATATCATTGTATAGTACCTTGTTTGTTCCTATTCAATTATCAATGGAATTTTGAATATGATATAATATAAGATATGGAGACTCCTGTTTTAACTAAAAAGCAACTTAAATCATCACTTTCAGCAAAAAAACAACGACCAAAAGAAACAATAAAAAATGTCTTGGCTTTACCTTACAATAATAATTTTTGGTACGTTGTATAATAACTGTATTTTTATATGTGAAAATAATAATAAATTTTGTGCTACATTATATATTTATTATAGGCCGGAAGTATCACCTGAAGACCAGAAGGAACTTAAGGATCTTATAATACAGCACATGCCTGTGATAAGAGATAAACAGATTAAAGTTCCCTGGAAAGAGTTAAAGACTGTTCCAAAAGCGAACAGAAAAGCGTTTCGAAAAGAATACAACGAAAAACTTCTTGGACCTCAACCATCCAAAAAATGCTGGTTAGTATTAGAAAGTTTTTCTATCAACTGACACAGAGTTTGTTATGATATGTCTTCTCTATTTTAATTTAACCCTTATAGAGGGTATAGTATATAAACTGCTTTTACTAAAGGTTGGAAAAATACACACTTTACTCCACATATAGAGTGCACTGAAATATTACCAGCTATTGAGGTGATATAATAACTTTCAATCCGTGACTCTATGTGTTTCTATACATGTATGTGTGTATGTGCTGAATCTTGAGGATGTTCTCAACCCTGACATGACAGTTGATAGGGGACTTCCTATGTAAAAATAGAGTAGATGTGAATAAGGAATAATATATGGGGCTGCAGCTGTCATTACTGTAGATTTGTCAATTGAACATGACATATAAACATACATATTCAAATAAAACACACACACACACAGTCAATGGGAAAATCACAGATAATTGCATCACAAATAACTAGTTATATGGTCAGATTGATTGGTCTACAACTACTGCACTCCCAATCTTGAGGTGTAACACCATCATGCCCAAGGGAGAAAGTGTTATCTTAAGTGATACCCCAGAGAGCAGGTGAACTCTGGAGTGTATAGCCTTAGTATGGTAAGGGTTGACTGCTGTGCCTGGCATTGTTTGGTCCCAACTCGTTGGAATAATACAGGATGTTTAATTGGTAAATTGAAATACTTAAATAGTGAATAGAGGTTACTAGGTGGTTCTACATATACCTTTGCAAATTCTTTACATTTCATAATTCATTAGAAACTTTCTTACACTCTTCCTGAAAAATATAAAAAATGTAGAAATCAAAGTTGACTAATAAATTAGTTCAATGATGATTTGAAGTGTATGAGAAAAACTCTGCACTTGATAAAAGAGCAATATGATAAGTTTCCTGCATTGTTCCAGAAAAATATATTAATATATGACAAAAAACATTACAAATAAGCAGTAAATTCTGTTAAATAAAAGGCCAGTGATAACCTTATTTCAACAGCATCTTATCCAAATAAATAAGTGTATGTGGAATGTTATCTTTCAGCTAAAGAATTTATTGATTTCTTCACTAATGTTGCTTGTAACTTATAGACCCAGATTTAACCCTCCTTCTTCAATCCCTTAGATTTTGATGTCACTCTTCGAAGGAAAACACTTCGTCCATCAAAGTGTTTTCCTTCCAAGGTGTTTCTAATTCAATTCAAGAGGCTTTTGCGTAGAGTAAAAGAGCAACTGTGACTTGCCACTCTGAATAGTTCTACATTTATACAACTTATCTTAGGTTACTTAACAAGGAAATTTTCTTCTCATACTCCTCTTTCATCTTCTATCCATAATCATTACAGCCACGCCTACTGAATCTGGCGACTACCAGTGTTGCCACATCCCGAAATTAAAGTAACAACCCTCATAAAGTATAGTTAACATATGCAATTTAGTTATTGTGGTTTACATGAAAAACATTTAACAACATATTTTCTTTGTTTTTAGTTCTGGAATTAGTTTCGGTATCAACAGCATGTCAAAATTGTTGGAAAAAAATTTTGCCCAAGCCATATTACTTGATGCAGAAACTATGCCTAGACTTTTAGTTCAACATCTTGTAGACCAAGCTGTTCTGTATACAGTGCCAATAATATGTGTTACTGGCTTGAAAGAAACATTAAAATCTGTGACAGGAATAAATAGTGTAGTTGTCGCATTTAGCAAGGAGATAACATCTGACAATTCAGTAAATTTACTTATAGAAAAGATCAGTAATTTATTTAAAACAGTACCTCCTCCTGAAAACCATATAAATTATAATAGGTCCTTGGATCCTTATGTGCCAGAACATGAATCCAAAGAAAAGGAAGCTCCTAAGAAAGAAATTGTAAAAGTAGATGTAGTTCAAATTCGAAAAAAGGTGTATCTAACAAGAAGTGATCCAAAGTCTAGAGTTTTTATTCCAGAGTTTAAAGAAGCAAAATCTACACAGAAAATGGAAGTTAATGATACATACAATATGGAAGTTGATGATACATATAAAATGAAAGTTAATAATAAACCCAACATGGAAATTGATGATACAGGGTTTATTGCATTTACAGAAGAACCTGAAGAAGAAAAACTGGAAGAACCACCAAAACATAAAGTTAAGGTGAAATATAAATCATTGGTTGTCAAAAGGTTAAAAGGTGATCCAAATAGAAATAAAAGGAAAATTGAAAATCTTAAACTTAAAAAATCAAAAAAATAATTCTTTTAATTAAGTTGTTTGTATAAATTATATGATAAATTTATTATTTTATGACATTTTTCTATCTCCTAAAAAAATTAGTAACAGTAAACTAATAAAATAAAACTTAAGAAGTTTGTATATTCTGTCCATTGCTTCTTTGCACAAATATTGGCCAAGGATTGAGTCAACATATTTAAGTAAGTCATAATCATCGATTTAAGGATTAGTAAATGGCTAATATCCTGGTGCATGTTGTTGAAAATTTGATATTGATTTATGAAACTTTTTTCAAATTTTCCACCAAAGTAATATTAATCTGTCAATGCTCACTGTGACTGTATTTCCCTAGTTCCATCCCTTCTTGTGGTGAACTTTGTACTTATGTGTTTCTTGGCCAGAAGTGAAAGATTGCTGACAGGTCGGGTCAGCACAATATTCTTTCTTGTTTATTCTCTGGATAAACTGTTTACTAGTTCCTTCTTTTCCATGACTAATCCTCCCAAATATGTCAACTTGTCATAGGTCTTCTCCCACCTACCTATTCCTACCCCTTCTACTTCCTTACTGTTTATCATTATTTTGTTATTTGGGTGATTATCATTTCTTAAGAGTTTGGTTTTCTCTGTGTTTATTGGAGTTCAATCGTGTCCAAGTACTAACAGTAACAACCGTCAATATGTTGAAATTTAAAGTATGATTTACCCTGAAAGTTTGTTGGAAAAATTGTAAATTTTCTTTATTGAGTTTATTAAAATGAAATCAAACATTGCTTTTGGATGGTGCCATTTTTCTTTCTAGTTTTATTATATTATAAAAACTTTGGATTATTTTTAAAAAACGTACCAATATGGTATCTTGGTACGTTATTGGTTAATATCAGCATATTTAATTTGTAATGTTAATTTATTTTAAATGTGTGATGTCAATATATATATATATATATATATATATATATATATATATATATATTAATTTGTTATTAATAATGTGACCATATTTGCTCAATCATGTTTAAAGATTTATGCAAATAAAATTTACTCTACTCTACTCTACTCTATAATAATCCTGTGTGGGCGATACATTTAATCTCTAATATATATATATATAATATAATATATATATATATATATATATATATATATATATATATATTTAATGTGATAATTTCGACCAAAAAACAATTTATCAGTATGTTGGAAGTATCGTGGAAGTGTTAAAACTAATTGATGCCACAAAATTCATTTGATTTGAACATACTCAAAAGTTTGGGGGGATTTAGGGCTGCACACCCCCCATAAAATTTTTCTGTGCACTTAGATTTTGTTGTTTGTTTTTTATGAAAAATGCTTTCAGAACAAGAAAGTAACGTGTCCATTTTTATTACAAAATGTCAAGTAGTTTGGGAGATAATGCAAAAAAAACTATTTTTATTTTGTAACTTCAAAGACTGTAACTTTTTTCTGTACACTTTTGTACTAAGGTAAGTTGGATTCAATCAATTTATTTTTGTCCCCGGAATGTGTGATTTAATTTATGACACACCTTTTTGAAACACCCTGTATATTAACATAGACCGAACATACTAGCCGCGCGTACTGACGACAAAATCTCTTGCGGTTGTTTCTGTCTTTCTCTAGCGCATTGAAACTCCTCCCTCTCTCTCTCTCTCTCACCCACACCAAAAGAAACTCTGCTATACGTATTTGATGTACGACAGAGACACAACAAACAACGAAAAAAGATGATGTCATCACTTAGCTCTACAGTACAGACTACTCAGTCTATGTTAAAATATACGTCTCTGTTGCTATTCCTAATTGGTAACGCTAGTCATTCTTGGATTAAAATTAGTTCTAGTAAGTTTACTATTGTATTAAGTATATGAAACAAGAGGTTCGTATTACATTCGAGTGATTCACCCATTAACCCATTTTTTTGCAGTTTTAACGAAATTTTTGTTTTCCTTTTTGTTTCGCAAAATAAGTTTATTTAGCAGTTTTCCAAATCATATTCCTATATACCGTGGAATTAAAAAATATTTATATAAATCGTATATTTTTTATGAAATTGTTTAAAACAAATTGATACGCAAAGCGTTACATTATATTTCTGGAAATATGTTCGCGATTTTGACGTATACAGTTTCAATTTTGACATCTTCGTTTTGCTACAATGTGTTCTTTACTGTCATATCTAATATCTTCTATCTTCAGATATATTGCTTCTTGACGTACTTGGAAGACTACGACCATTGCTTACTCTTACGCCGTGTCAACTTTTTGGAAACGAATAAGCTTCTTGTCGCTTAAATTATTTGATGGATGTATTTGTTTCCCCTTTGTTGGGGGTTGTATAGTACACACTCATTTACGATATCCATCATTCGTATAAAAAAACATCAATATTTTTCCTCTGACAGATATATGGTGTTTTTCTAAAAATCAGTCATGGTGATCCATGCCACCTATATTCTTCTTTGCGTGCCATATCAGAATTATCCGACGTTGGTGATCACCATTGCGAAGGCTTCTCGATCTGTGCAATATGTAATAATCGTCCTGCATTTGGTATCTGAGTCCATTTACGAATGTTTTTTAACCAAGAAACTTGTTTTCTTCCTACACCTCTACGGCCCTCTATTTTGCCTTTAAGGATCAGTTGTAATATTCTATATCGACTTCACCTTACTATATGTCCCAGATAAGACATTTTTCGATGTTTAACAGTCTTTAGCAGTTCTCTATCTTTGTTGACGCTCTTTAGTACTTCTTCATTAGTTTTCCTTGCTGTCCAAGGTATCTTCAGCATTCGTCTATGAACCCACATTTCCAATGCTTCAATTTTGTTCATGATCGATACTTTTAGCGTCAACACTTCTGCACTATACAAAAGTACGGACCAAACATAGCATTTAACCATTCTTTACCTTAGTTCTAAACTGAGATGGTTATTAAAAAGAAATGACTTCATTTTCATAAAAGTAGTTTTAGTCATTGCTATTCTACGTTTTATTTCTATTCACCCATATATATGCTATAATTTTAAAAAGCGAATGGTTGGCGAACTTGTACTTTTTTTATTTCCTTTTTACTCCATCGTTGAAGTTGAAGTGAGAAAAACGTATCATAATTGGTTCCAACACAAAACATTTACTGTCGTTCCATTTTCATATTAGTATTTTGTTGTTATTGTCAAAGCACTAATCATATTCACATCGAGGCGCCTTTTCTAGGTTTTTTGATGGTTTGTTAGGATACTTTGCAGTTTGGTTTTCTTTAGTAGTTCCCGTAGCGCGATATCCCTCTTCTTTTAACTGGCAAATGAGTCTGTAACTTGTAAAAAAGTTATCAAAATATACAAGATGTCTATGTGGGTTTTCTACAATACTCAACATGTTTGAAACAACCCTTGTACCTAAAGGTTCAGTTTATTTCTCTCCCGGAGCTTTTCCACAATAAAGAGCAAAATTAAAACAATAACCATTATCGCCACACAGCGCCCACAGTTTGAAACCAAACTGAATTGTTTTGGCCCTTATGAATTGTTTTAGTGAATTATGTCCGCAATACTTCATTATCATTTCATCTATAGCTAGGTGTTGGTGAAACATTCCCCACTGTTGGAACAGCGTGTTTATAACATTTAGCAAAGGTATAAATTTGAATGACTTGTCATGTTTGTTATTGTCGACGATAGTAATCACCAAATATTCAGGAAATTTTTTTATCCCATCCTAAACAAACCGTCCTCAAACGAAGAGATAATGTTCACAAGGAATCTACGTTCCTGTAGTTGGCTGTATACCATGTATTAAAAAATTTAATTAAAAATACTTAATTTTCACAATTTTAAATAACGTTGGCTTTTGTCTTAAGTAGAAACATACAGTTACATTGACTGCTCTGTGATAATTTCCGTCATAACTTAACAATATTGTCATCAAATGTCATTGCCAATCAGTTGCACTCATACAGTCCTCGAAGACATACCGTCTCAGGACTAGCAACTTCAACGTGGAGTCATATGTCGCCATGTTACCTAATCCATCGGTAACTCTATCATCTTAAATTATTATAACGTATTTTTAAAACTAAATGTAATTAAACATCTGCTAACGGGTTTTTACCCATATATTTAATCTTGGTGGCACATTCATGTACTCCTTGTAAGTATTAACCACATTTTTCATTAACCTTAGTCAAAATTTTAACCTATGTTCTTTTTAATTAAGTGGTTAACTATTTTCTAGGACACTGATGATGGAACATGGATTCCGAAAACGTTATGTCTTTTTAACTTAGCCCGTTTGGGCCTTAAATATATACCTTTTACAAAGGATTTTTTATTAAATTTTTTGAAGAGATAATGGTTTAACTATACGCCATACTTTTTCCTCTTATCTCAATTTTTTCAGGGATTATAAATATTATTTTTTAAATAAAACAATAAATATATTTGTTGTTTTTGATTTACAACAATTATTGATATTCGTTTATTTCTTTGTTCTGCAGCTGCAATTTATCAAAACATCACAAATTTATTTTCACTTTAATTAGATATTACAAACTCTAATATTTTCATTATATAAAATAAATATTCTAATTTAAGTAACTAATCTTTGTTATCTTCAATTCCTAAATTTTGCTGAACTTCATTGGTTAACGCTCCCTTCTTCTTAATATAGTCATTTTTCGCTACATTACTTAGTACTTCTGCCATGGCGGGTCCGGTTTCCTGGACCATCTTGCTAAAATATCCTTCTGGATTTTGTAGAAGCTCATATGGATGATCAAACTCCATGGCCTGTCCGGCATCCATGACTAAAACTCTGTCTGAATCCATAATGGTGTTTAATCTGTGGGCAATTGTAAGTACTGTACAGTCTTGGAATCTCTCACGAATAGTTTTTTGGATGAGACCATCAGTCCTAAAAACGAAAAGAAGTAAATAGTTAACAAAACTACTCTGTTCTGGACAATACATTTTTATTCAATACAAGTTATATATGTTTTTATATGCCTACCAGATGACGTAATATTACTAAAATATTCCCAAAAGTTCTGGTATATCGGATACTTTAATTACTATTTAACTGGGAATAAGCCACAATTAAAGATAAAAATACGTTTATAACAATATCGGATACTTTGTGATTAAAGGCAAGAACGTTATATTACTGACTGGTAAGGTTTATAGAAGTAAATGACTTTTAGTCGGAAAAATCAATTTCTACGTTCATTTGTTATTAGAAAATACTCCATCAAATAGATGAAAATAAAAAAAATATCTTTAAAAATTTAAAAACATTAAGAAATAATAAAAAATTAAAATAAATTATGCGAGAATGGCTCAATACAACTTAATAATCAACAAAATGTCAGGAATGTAATGTAAAGTAACAATACTAAGTAAGAAAAACGAGTCAGTCAAATCAATAAAATATAATTTATTTCAGTACTTACTGTGGATCTACGTTTGCGGTAGCTTCATCCATAACAAGAACTTTGTTATTGCGTATAATAGCTCTAGCGAGACATATAAGTTGTCTTTGGCCAGCACTGAAGTTAGATCCACCTTCACTGACAACTTGATTTAAGTCACTAATAGCACCTTTAAGTTCGACCTACAAATAAAATAATTGCAAGTATAACTAAGAAACTAACTAGTATCTGAATTTGTAAACTAGTTCTAATTGAGTGTTAGTTAATATAATTTTCATCAATTCAATTTTGTCCCCGTACGTCCTATACCGACCACGTTACTAATCAGGACGTTGTATTAAGAATGCAAAAAGAAACACACGAGTTTAAAGGAGAATAAAGGAGTTGTTAGAAAAAAAAACGCGGACCAGGAAGGTGAAGGATCTCCTAGTTGAAAAATCTACGAACGTGGTTCAAACCCAACAACCACAAATCTTTTCAGAGCAGCAGTGTGCAAAATACACATTACCATGATGATCACCAACACCCGAAACGGATAGGCACTACAAGAAGATATAAGTCATTTTGTAAGTCCTTTTCTGCTATGAAAAGGTATCGTCTAGATACCTGTTATTGTTAATATATTTACTGTTTATTTTTATACTTATTTCGGCGCCGTCTACTGCTTGTTTGAATACAGAAGAGTATACATACAGTATAGGAAAAAGTTTATGGTCGGTATGGACCTTACGTGAGATGGAGTGAGAAACAGCTGTTTAGAAAGAGAGAGGTATATTAGGTCCGCCCTTTATATCGCCAAACATGCATGCCTGGAAAGGGGAAGTTCAACGTTGCAAAACTTATTGGATTTATTTGACCTGTTGTTTTTTTTGCATTTGAACAATGTTCTAAGATAATCCAATTTGGGCGAAATTGATTTAAATGGCAGCTTACTGTTTTTTTATTGGGAATATGCCACAAGTTTACTTTACAATAAGTGTAATATAACATTTTGATTTCCACTTCGGAAATCGTTTTATATAAATAAAATTTATTAATGTTTCGTATTTTAAGTACGATTTCCGAATTAAAAATCTAAACATCAAATAAGCTTATTTTAAAGTCACATTGTGCCTTATTCTCAATATGAAATAATAAACTGCATACAATAACGCCACATTAAAAAATATACATACACAATAATTATTTGGCAACGTCGGTCTGGTCTGGTTTGGCCGACCGAATAACGAGTAGTAGAGGTGGGTCGTTCCAATATTTTTTAAATGCATTAATTTTTTGCGAATCCTGAGAAAACTAATAAATATTTTTGAAAAATTTAAACGCAGAATGAAACAATACATTATTACCGAGGGCCGAAAGTCCCCGAAAACTTCTATAATGTTTATTTTAATAGTTTAAGTTACAGGGGTGAAAAAAAAAAAGAGAAAATTTAGTGTGATTTTTAATTTCAAATATCTCATTCAAAAAACTTTTTGTTTATTCTAAGGAACTTTCGGCCCTCGGTAATAATGTAACCTTTCATTCTGCATTTAAATTTTTAAAAAATATTTGTTAGTTTTCTCAGGATTCCAAAAAAAAATTAATGCATTTAAAAAGCATTGGCCTGTAATTTTCCGCCTACGCTGTTAACGCAACTAAACCGATTTTCGTAAACAACTAACTATGATTGTTTAAAAGTAGTTTCAAGTAAGAGAGTACCTACATAAACATAATGGCTATTATCGTTTATGTGTATATTTATTGAAGTGAAAGAAACTAATGATATTTTTATTAAACTTGAAAAATAACTAAACAATACAAATAGTAAATCGTACTTACATTTACATTACACGTTATTATTAAATCGCGAATAGTCTAAATTGACATTCAAAAACATAAGTTTTTCAACTTTACTTCTTATTAACCGTCTTCTTTTTTTATTTCAAATTAAACCAATTTTGAACATGTGTTCACATTTACAATACTAATAGTGGTTAAGTTAGGATATACATGGCGATGGTTTTTCCACCGTTGTAATGGACTCTCGATTCAAGTGTACGTGTAGATGAGCCATCTCCAATTAATTGATCAAAAATACACCATGGATTTAAGTCATCTTTATTGGTTTCTTCTTCTTGTACTGGTTGATTTTCAATAGTACAATCTTCTTGTTCGTTAATTATAGAAGTAACCAGCTTCTTAACTTTTTCTTTAATTTTTTTATCTTCATTTTTATCAGAAAAACCTGCACTTTAAATGGTGAATCCATAAATTTACAAAATAACAATGTGCCACTCTGTTCTATCCCTTTAAATCTTTTTGCTAAACCCGATATTAGTAATTGTACTACGTCGGATACTATGGATGTAAGGTTTGCTAAACCTTATTGCTAAATTTGCCGTTTGCTAAAATTTTATTGTAAGATTCTTGCAGGCAGCGTACCATAAAAATCACTGAACTACCCTTCAAGTATTTTTGGTCACTCATTGTACTTGTTATTTCTTTAAACGGCCGTAAAATTTGGGAAAGCTGAGAACAAATAATCCAGTGTTATTTATTTACAGTCTGTATTATTTAATACCGATGTGGAACGGATTGCCTCTTCTAACTCAGTCATTTTTTTTAACATGTAGTAGGTGAAGTTCTACCTAGTTTCCACGTCTTGGATGGCCGTTTGGGAACTTTGTTATGTTGTAATTAATACTTAAAAGCCTTTCTGAAGATAAGGTACTGTTTTTAATGTGTTTTTTTGCAGAATTGTCGAAAAAATTGCTTTTTATTTTATCTATATTCAAATCAGTTTTGACATAACATTCCTGAAGTAATGAACCTGACAGTTTTTCTTGTTGGCAGTTTATATCCAGGAATCCACCCTGCAAACTTTTTAAAAGCTGGTTCTTCACCTGTGGAAAACGGATGAAACGAGTCTTTGCATAAGTTTAGTAAATCTTGAAAATCAACCAGTACAAGAAAAAGAAACTGATAAAGATGACTTAAGTCCATGGTGTATTTTTGATGAATTAATTGGACGTGACTCATCTAAACATACACTTGTATCGAGAGATATAAAAGAAGTCGACATGTATTTGTCTGATGATATAATACCCACAAAAAATTTCGAACGGAGATTAAAACTGTCCATTACCGTGGTGGAAAAACCATCGTCATGTATATCCTAACTTAACCACTATATTCATAAAATATTGTAATATTGTAACAAAATCTTTTCCTTGTGAACACATGTTTAAAATCTGGTTTAATTTTAAATAAAAGAAGAACACGGTTAACAAGAAAAGTGGAAAAACTTGTTTTTAAATGTCAATTTAGACGATTCGCGATTTAATCATGTGTAATGTAAATGTAAGTACCTACTATTTGTATTGTTTAATTTATTTTTCAAGTTATAGAAATATATCCTTCGTTAGATTCTTTCACTTCAATACTTCTACTAAACAATCAACTAGTTACAGTTTACGAAAAACGGTTCCGATAAAAATTTAAAAAACGAGAGGATCCACCTCTAGCTTTTAGGTATATTAGGATCGGAACCAGAGAATATGTAAAATATCTCTGATCGGAACTATTCGTCTCACGAATGAGCAACGAGTGTTAAAAATATTTATGGAGGGGAGACCAAGGGGAAATATGATTGTTATCTTTGTCTATTCGCTGAAAATAAGATTTTATATCTGCGTTAGATATCCTGTTAAATTTTACCATACCGACCATAAACTTTTACCTACACGTACAAGGTAAAGAGTAATGAAGACGTGACACAGCCCCTTGTTGGATTCTTTGTATAACGACGCTTTTCTAGATTTAAAACTCAGGAAAATTCAACGTCGAAGTTGACTCGAGGAATCTAGGGGTCAGAAATTGGAAAGCCAGGGCGAAATATTGGGGGGAATGGAGACTAATTCTTGAACAGGCCAAGACCCACCCAAGGTTGTAGAGCCAAAGATGATGATGATACCGACGCTTTTAGTAGTGTGGTTGGAATATAAGGTTGCTTCTTGGTTCCAATAAAGGTTTTGAATTATGTGGAAATCTTTTCCAGCATCGGTTTATGTAGTTCATAAAATTTTTTATATGTTAATGAGCATAAATTCGTCGCATTTGCGGGAACTACATTTCTTTGGTGTATAGCTCGAAAATAAGTAGATTCATTTTCAACTACAAAAACAAAAAGTGTCGCCAGGTCACAATTTGGGAGGCAACGAGAAATCATGAAATAATAATCTGTCTAATAGGGCTCTAAGAAAACTGAAGCACTTGATTTCAATTTTCGTCAACGACAACGAAGTTTTCAATTTCTAAAAATTATACAAGTCGTCACCGTGTTTCGGAGTACACGTAAAGCCCTCGGCCACACTGGGCTAGTGCGCGCATCGACAGTAGTTACCTGAAACAGTGTTAAAGATGTAATTACAGCCGGAAACTGTCCGAAAGGATCTCATGCGAGTCAAGTCATGGTTTTGACTATGAAGGCTATGTGGGAAGTAGTATTTATCTCTAGAATATATTTTTAACCACCAGAAACGGAGTTTTCTGACTCTTAACTTATACAATATGGATGGGAACAATTTTTACGTATGAATATGAAATGTTTAAAGCAGAAAACGAAATAATTGATAAGAAGCAGCGAAGTGATCAAAATAATGAGGCCAAGGTATTAAACGCATCCCGAGAATATAACTGCAGCTCAATACTAGATACCACAGCGTAGCACTGCCACGTTCGCAACTGAGTCTAGCAAAACTGCTAGTGTTAAGTGTGTTGTTTTTTTGTATATCGAAGTATATCGAATGTTAAGTTTACGAAGAGTGTACGAATACTTACGTCTTCCAACGCTTTCCATAAAACATCATCACCATGTTTCTCAAAAGGATCTAAATTATACCTGAGTGAAGCGGAGAACAAAATCGGTTCTTGGGGTATGATTGAGATGTTTAATCTTAGATCATTCAATCCTATTTCGGCAGTATCAACGTCATCTATTGATATAGTACCCTCTATCGGTGCTAATCTGAAAAGAGACGCAATGAGGGTTGACTTTCCTGCACCAGTTCTTCCAACAATTCCGATCTATAACAAATGTGTATCAGTTAATAAACATATTTAAAAATGTGTAAACATAATTTAAAGTTTTTATTGCTCGTTATTTCATCTTAATTTCATTGTATTTACTGTAAAAATAATTGAACTTATTTTAGCATATCCTAACGATGAAATAAATTATGCGAAAGCTCGATATTAACAAAGAGTTTCTCCTACCCTTTAAATCAGTGATTCTCAACCTGTGGTCCGCGGACCACCTGTGGTCCGCGAATGGTTTTCATGTGGTCCGCGAAGTGAACAGTCATAAAATAATCAATTTAAATCTTGGTTCTTGAGACGTAAATTAATGCGCCGACCTATCTTTTTAATTCAAAACGTTTCCAGACGACCAAGCGCGCCTGAACACAGGTTCATTCACCTCAATCTTCCGCGTATTTTTCCTCATGCGCCAAATAGTTAGTTGCATTATCTTCGTTTAGTTTCGGCCGCTGTCGTGTACGTACAGAACACTGCGACCACTGCGTTTTTGATCGCGCCACTACTTAGTCAGTCACTCAGTGCTGACTCAACTGTCAAGTTACGAGCGTTCGTCTTTTTGGCTTGGTGATTGTAGTTTACTAAAATTAGCAAACAGATGAAACTTTCGGGTTTTTTTAAGAAGACGGATAGTGAGAACGTTAAAGCAGGATGTTCTACTAGTAATATTGCCAGTGATAGCACAATATTAACTCAAACTGGTCCTAAAAGAAAGGCTGCTAACCGTAAGTACAATCCTGACTACATAGCATGTGGATTTACATTCATTGAAGAATTTGGTGTACAGTTACCTCAATGTGTCATTTGTGCGGAGGTATTAAGTAATGAGGCAATGAAGCCGGCAAAATTAACTAGACACTTTGAAACAAAGCATAAAAAATTTTGCCGGAAAACATGTAGATTTCTTTAGGAGGAAGGAGACGGAACTAAAATCGTCAAAAAATATCCTTGTCTTACTCGACTTATGATAAAGCTACTTTGAAGGCATCTATCAACTTTCACTTAGAATCGCAAAAACCAAAAAAAACCTTTACTGTTGGTGAGGAATTAGTAATGAGGCAATGAAGCCGGCAAAATTAACTAGACACTTTGAAACAAAGCATAAAAATTTTGCCGGAAAAACATGTAGATTTCTTTAGGAGGAAGGAGACGGAACTAAAATCGTCAAAAAATATCCTTAAGTCTTACTCAACTTATGATAAAGCTACTTTGAAGGCGTCATATCAACTTTCACTTAGAATCGCAAAAACCACAAAACCCTTTACTGTTGGTGAGGAATTAGTTTTACCATGTATCGTAGATGCAACTAAAGCAATTTTAGGTGATAAATACGCTAAACAAATGCAAAATATTTCTCTTTCCAATGACACCGTTAGTAGGAGAATTGAAGAAATGGCGTCAGATGTTGAAACCCAACTTCTAAAGAAAATTCATTCCTCAAAGATTTTTGCTGTACAACTTGATGAATCTACAGATATTACCAATAAAGCTATCTTCTTGTTTATATACGATTCATAGATAAAGACAACAAAAAATTATCTGAGGAGTTCCTGAGCTCGATTGAGTTGCAAGGTAACACAACCGGAAAAGACATTTTTAAAGCCATTGACGGATATTTCACAATTAAAAATCTTTCTTGGAAAGACTGTGTAGGACTTTGCTCTGATGGTACCGCGGCAATTACAGGTCACAAAACAGGCTTGCCAAGTTTTGTAAGGAAAGAAGGAAACCGTGATATTGTTTTAACACACTGTATTATTCATCGCGAAATGCTTGCTGCCAAAAGATTAAGTCCCGACCTAAACAAGGTTTTAACTACTGTGGTAAAGGCCGTGAACTTTATAAAAAGTAATGCTCTTAGTTCGAGATTGTTTGCTTTGTTATGCGAGGACATGGGATCCATCCATTCCAATCTCCTTCTACATACCGAAGTTAGGTGGCTGTCCAGGGGCCGGGTTTTAGCCAGATTTTATGAACTTCGAGAAGAAGTATGTATGTATCTTGATGAAAAAAAAACCTGATTTAGCGAAAACACTGCGTGACGGAGAATTTATGGCCCAGTTAGCTTTTTTAGCAGATATTTTTGAACAGCTCAACATATTGAATCTAGGCCTGCAGGGACCATCTAAAACCGCATTTGACCTTTGGAAAAAAATTGATTCATTTAAGAAAAAATTGTTGCTATGGGAGTCCGAAGCTGGAAAAGGATCGTTTGAAATGTTCAACTTGTTTTCAGATTTTATCTCTGAAAATAAAGGCTTAAATGAGGATGTTTTACATTCACTGGTTAAGTCCTACATTAAGTCGCTTCAAGATTACTTTGAAAAGTACTTCCCTGCTGATACAGATGTGAGGAAAAATAATCTGTGGGTGATTGATCCCTTTTTAGCTACCCACAATAATAATCTGTCTATTCAGGAAAATGAACAGCTTATTGAAATTTCATCCGATGATCATTTAAAAGTGATAAAATCTCACTGCGAAAATGTTGCAGATTTTTGGATAGGATTACTTGATGAAAGTCCACTGCTAAGTAAAAAAGCTTTGGAACTTCTTCTTCCTTTTCATTCCACTTATCTCTGTGAGGCATCATTCTCAACATTATATGTCATTAAGAATAAACACAGAAATAGGTTGCTAAATTTAAATGCTCCTATGAGACTGGCGTTAACTTCTTTCGATCCAAATATTGAGAAACTTTCAAGTGAGAAGCAAGACCAAGGGAGTCATTAACGTCTTAATTTGGCGCTATCTATGACTTTTTATTTTGTTTTTTATATACCTTTTGTCTTTCACTATGTATTTTCTTTTTTTATTTTGTAAATAATAAATTCATTAGTAAAATTTCAGTGTTCATCTCATTTTACCTATTATTAGGAAATATTAATAATAATATCTAAGTGGTCCGCCAAGAGTTCTGAAAGGTACAAGTGGTCCTCAGTGATGAACAGGTTGAGAACCACTGCTTTAAATCAATGACTGCCACCCTCAAAATAAAACTTAAGTTTGCATAACGTGTCAGTCAATACTACCCAACTGCTGTATATAAATATGTATATATGAGCAATACTTTTAGTTTTGGACCACTATTGTAGAGGAGCCCGCGGATTTTTACCAAATTTTAGTATATCATTGTACTTAAAAAAGTAACCTAAAGATATTTTTAGCCTTCTAGGTGCCTTTGGGTTTAAGATTTGCCCTCCAAATGGTCAAAATAGCCATTGTTACCCTATATTTGAAGAGCTATATCTCTGAGCACAGTGGACCGATTTTAACTCACAAGGTCTCATTTTTTTGATATAACGTCATCATTTTGATGAAAACTTACAAAATATAGGTGCATTATAGGTGAGTAATTACTAGAGCCATGTGTTTTTCCTACAGAATTAAATGAAGATTATTATTTATTTTTTTGCAAATTACTTTATCGATATTTTGGATGATTTGTTATTAGCTGTAAAAAGATGAATGTTTTTTATGCAAGACTCCCTGAGTCCTAATCCCTTTTGGATGTGGTGACACCATCAGGCCTTTACAGTTTTTTCACGTTTTCCCTCCATCATTCCCTGTCCTGAGCTAGTTGTTCGGCTTCATGTCTTCTTCTTCTTCTTGATGTGCCTATCCGTTACGAATGTTGGTGATCATCATGACAATCTTTATCTTATCTGCAGCAGCGCGGAAAAGCTGCACAGATGTTGTATTCAACCAGATTCTGAGGTTCTTTAACCAAGATGTTCTTCTTCTTCTGGACCTCGCTTTCCAAATATTTTTCCTTGCAGGATGGCTTGAAGGAGAGCATATCTCTATTCATTTCGCATAATATGTCCAAAAAATTGTAACTTTCAAGATTTAATGGTGGTTAGTACATCTCGGTTCTTATTCATTCTTCTAAGGACCTCGTCATTTGTGACACGGTGTGTCCACGGCTTCATGTAACCCTTGGTTAATCAATATTTTAGTTTGATCTACCCAATGGCTTGGAGATCTTCCCCTAGGTCTCTTTCCTTCAACTCTACCATCGACGTTTTTCATTATGCAAGACAAAGCACCTTATTTCCCGTTGGCTGTTAGAAATACTTTTAGTGCCACATTTTTTCAAGCATGGATTGACAGAGGAAGTAATTTTGAAGGTCCACCAAAAAGTTATTTCCATTAGATGTTAGGAACCATCTTAGATCATTTTAGCGACACATTTCTTCAAGGATGCTCGACAGAGAAATTGATTTTGAACGACCACCAAGAAGTCCTGAGTATACTCCGCTTGATATTTATTCTATGGGGCATATGAAGTCCACCTGAGCGGAGGACAACCACCTACGCGATGGACAGACGACGTCAAAAGAATCACTGGGAATTGGCTACAGGAAGTTGTTATAATTCTGATCTATCGTCAACGTTACAAGCTTTTTAATCAAAATCACTAAAAAGTTTCGTCGAAAAAAGTTTTTATTCAATTTCATTGTTAGGCATCGTTCAAGTGTGCTTCATATAACCAAATGTATAATATTTCTTGGCCAATGTTATTTTTATGTGCCGATTTAGATAACAAAAAAATATACAGCGAAATGATTATTGATTATCGATATTCGATTACAAAAAACGAAATTTTTTAACTATTAACAAACTGTGTCTTTTTCCATAGCAACTGATTCTAGACTTATGTCCAAATAGGTATAACTCACGCTATATAGTAATGTGTATTTGATCATATTTATACGTACCTTCTCGCCAGAATTTACTTCTATATTTAAATCTTTCAATACAGGTGGAAGCTCCGGAGCGTATTTTAAGTACGTATTCTTAAATATAATTCTTCCCTTTTCAGGCCAATTCCTTGGTGGTTTCTTGGCAGGTAACGTTTCAAAAGGTCCTTCCTTATCAAGTTTAGTATATTGTAAAACTCTTTCTACGCTAATCATATTACTTGCCACTTCTGCACTTTGTCGCACTCCATATTGTACCATAACCAGTTAATATGAGACTTTGAGATATGACCAATCCCACGTTTCCACTTAAAGTATTTTCTAAAAATGTAAGAAAAATTAGATTGTGTAAACCACCTATAAAAATATTAACTATATTAAATGAATCTTTAATGTCACGATCTTTTGTTTATATATTAAACCGTTTTTAAAGAAATATACACACGTATAATTCTTTAAAATATTTAATATATACGTATATTATATGAACTTATTATTGATTATTATTAATTTATATAAAAAAAAGAAAAATCAGCAGAAGATTCGAACCCCGATTATCCAGGTCCAAAAGCAATAGCAAAAAACAATAGCATGTAGCTATAGATTGTCTCAGAGTGACTAGTTTGTACAGAGTAAATGCACAACATCGACGCCATACTTCTTAGGAAACTTGTATTAAAATAAACGTCACTTCTTACTACTTAGCCTAATCCATCTTTTGTGTTGAGGGTAGCTTAAGTACTAATGCCCACTAACGACCCTCGCCTAATTTCCTTCTTTCAGTGGTTCTCAAACATAAATAATAATTTGCTAAAAACATACTTGGGTTAAATTAAAATAAAATAGAAGTTAAGGAATGCCTTTTATTTATGTCACACAAGAAGTTTGTTTTTAATTCTACAGTATGTGCTAGCGATACAAACCATTTGTTTATAGATTTAAATAAAATCGAATAAAATAAAACTAAAATATAAAGAAACATTTTATTTATGTATTGTTTCGTTCAAAAGTTACGGGGGAAGGACCTTTAAAACCGCACTGTATATGTTGTAGTAACAAAACGTAGAAATATCCGAAAATAAAACTAATAAATAAGTTGAAAGTAAAAGAAGCTCTGTTCCATCAACAAATCCACTGGTAGATCCTGCGTGCAATAAAACGAACCGTGCACAACGAGCTGTTGGAGCTATCAATCCTGTTGTCAGACCACGAACAAAAGCATCGCGATGAGATGTACGAGTAATTGTTTTATCAATCCATTCTTTTTTCACACTGTGCCTGATATTTATCCATGATTCATCCAAATACACTATGTTGTATCCTTCTGCACGGTATTTACGAATTGCGCGTAAATAACAATGACGGCACGAGATGATTTCTGGTTTTTCAATCAAAATTGGAATTTCTGCAACGTTTTATAAACACAAAATCCATATCACTCAGCAAGCGATGTAGCGTGGCTCGTGAAATTTGGGCAAAGTTTCTTCGACATTTACAACAGCTAATATGGTGTTTATTGTTGGTGGTATATCGTCACGAAAAAATTGATGAACTATTCTACGAATTTGGCCCCTGACACCTTCATCGTACTTGTTGTCACGAGAGTTACCACCCTTTCGCTTCTTGGGCCTGCTCTTTGGAGATTGTAATCCACCAGGTGATGAATATTCCTGTCGTATGCGAAACAGAGTTTTTTCGCAAACACCACTCATTTCTGACACTTTCCTAATTACACTTATACAGAATCGTTCTTATCCTGATTAAGATGATAATTAAGAATATTCATTAGTATCTGCTTCTCTGAAAGTTTTCAGAGCTTTTCCAGTTTCCCTTGAACAATTTCCTCCATTTTGCTGTAAAAATTCGGAGGCAAATATAACAATAGCTACAACAGAAAATAACAATAATTTCCAACAACAAATCACAACAGCCACCAAAAAATAATAACAATAACAAAACAGTAACAGTACATCCAAGATGGTACAAATAATCGTAACTAGAATAGGTTTACGCGCTCCGAAGAACAAATAAAGACTAATTAGGCCCTGGATGTATTACGCTTTAAACATATTCTGTACAAGAATTACTCTAATAGCTTCTTAATTACTGAATAACTTAAAAAGTATTTAAAAAACTTTGAAACAAATGTTTATTTAATGCACATTTTATTATACTACTGCTACTAATAAAAGATAAAAGTTGATAAGTTACTATTAGAAACAAATAATGTATAGTATTATGTAAAATTATTAACAAACGATATTTGTACATTACATAAAATTGGACGTGAGGACTTGTTGAAAACTCCTGGTTTATTCCGTTTATTTTGAAAGATAGACAGTAGAGAACGCCATTGCTCATTGCATAAAACTGGCAACGTCTTGGCGAAATTCCCATAAGGTTAGCATTGCATATCTTACCCTGTACAGACTAGTCACATTGAGACAACGTATACCACTTTACTTTTTACATCAAATATGTAAGTTGTTACCTTTTGGTAACCGCCCATTAGAAAGAGATGCAGATACTGATTTGCATCATCTTTCTCTACCGCACTGGGAAACGGGTCTATATTGCACCCATCGAGCAAAAAGACAAGGGAGGGAATGTAAAGGTACTGGGGGCAAATATATTGTTAGATGGGAAGTGCCTATTTTGAGAGGCCACAATAAACAAGGAAAGGGAGTCACTTTCCTTGTTTAAGAAATCAAATTTAGTTGGGTTAGTGTTATTGTTTGTCCCAACTGCCATATGAAAGCTTATTTATATTGAAGCTTTTTAACAATCGTGTCACATTTTAGACTATCATCGTTATTATTTAATTAAGACTTTCTCGTCTAAGACTCATTTTGAAAAATATTTTAGAGCTACTTTAAATTTGGCGCCTTTCGTTCCCGGATATGTCCTCCATTTAAGAGGCCACTTTTATGACTTTTTGTCTACTTTTCATAATTAGATTCCCTCTTTTTGTCTTTTTGCTCGATGATTGCACCGCTCACTGTAGGTATTATTTGTCTATGGCCAGAACCTACCACTTTTTGTCAACAACCTGATGATTTCTCATAACAATGAGATCTGTAATACATTAGTACACAAAATACTAGTTTAAAGAAATTGTTTGGAAGCTATTTTTTAATTGGAAATACGTTTATTTTGACACTTCGGAAATAGTTTCCAAATCAGGGAAATTTCAAAACGTAAAAATAAACGTATTTTCAGCTGAAATTTTGGTTAACATCCAATAAAAATCGTAAATAGTTTCAAGATGCTTCTGATAAATATAGCGAAAATGTAAACAGTTCTCATAAGTTATTTAAAACACCACAGCTACTAACTAACAACGGAATCATTACTAAATTTATATAACTATGTATTAATATAATTGTACACAATCGTCCTACAATAAAATAACTTACCTGTTCTAAAAATAAGAAACTGGTAAGTCACAAGTGCCAAGAAGAAGCAGCTCATCACATCCAAATAAAATCCAAAAGCGGTACTGCTGACTATAAATAAGTACCACGTGCTGGTATGCTGATCTTGTAAGATATCAAATTCTGTAGTTATCATTTGTTCAGCGTTTGAGGCTCTAATTGTTGTTATACCATACAATGAAGCTGATATGTGGGAAAATACCGGAGCTCTTGCTAAAAATAGTAAGTGTTTTATATTAAAAGATTCGTTTTTATTATTTTTTTTACAAGAATTATTATGTATATGTTGAGAAAGTTAAAAACTTACACACTCCTTCCAGTCTTTTTAAAGATTGAGCACTTGTTAAGTAAACTACACGGAAGAAGTAGTAACATGGAGCAAGTATTACCGCTGGGATAATCATCCAAGGAGTCACTATGAACACCATCGCTAAGATACCAATCATAACCATAAAAATTTGAATAGCGTCAATTTGACAGCGTGGTAAAAGTTCATCTACTGCACCCATATCTTTTGAGAACCTGTTTAAAATTCGCCCTACAAAATTAAGGATTCAATAGTCATTAGTTAAAATAGACAAATATAGCATTTCTTATAAAATAACAGAATTGTATGTATATGTGATTAGTTTATAACTTATAGTTTTAAAGGAAAAGGCTATTAACAACAAATAGTTAGAGTGCTTGTCGACAAAAAAGTTTATGATAAGTGGATAAATTTTATTGATCTCATTCTTCTTCTTACGGTGCCTTATCCTTAAGGACGTTGGCCATTACATTTGCCCATTTAATCTTATTTGTAGCAGCCCTGAATAGTTCTATGGAGGTCATGATCGTCCATTGCCGTAGGTTTTTAAGCCAAGAGTTGCGTCTTCTTCCTGGTCCTCTTTTGCTATTGACTTTGCCTTCGATTATAAGTTGGAGCAGTTCATACTTTTGATTTCTTATGATGTGACCAAAATATTGTGTTTTCCGTTCTTTTATTATAAGCATAAGCTCTCTTTCCTTATTCATCCTCTGCAAGACTTCCGCATTTGTCGTATGGCCATCGAGCAAAAAGACAAAAGAGGGAATCTAATCGTTATGAAAAGGAGACCAAAATTCATCGAGCAATAAGACAAAAGAGGGAATGTAAAGGTAGTGGGGGTAAACATATTGATAGACAGGAAGTGTTATTTTGAGAGGCCACTTTAAACAAGGAAAGAGAATCTCTTTCCTTGTTTAAGAAATCAAATTTAGTTGGGTAATGTTATTGTTTGTCAAAACTGTCACATGAAAGCTTATTTATATTTTCTATTGAAGTTTTTTAACATTTTTAGACTATTATCGTTATTAATTAATTAAACTTTATTGTGTTCTAGTGTTAAAAAAAGTATTTTATTAAATAAATAGATAAATATATAATATAAAATATTATGTAATATAAAATAAATAAATAGATAAATTAGAACCCCCTACACCACTGTATGATTATTGTCAAGTGTCATGAAATTTAAATTTGGCGCATTTGCATTTCCGGATATGTCCGCCATCAGAGGCCACTTTTTTGGTCTCCTTTTCATAACGATTAGATTCCCTCTTTTGTCTTATTGCTCGATGCCAAAATTCATAAAAGTGGATTCTTAATATGGCGGACATATCTGGAAATGAAAAGGCGCCAAATTGAAGACTATGTTCCAATATTATTATAAAGGGTATGTTACAAACACTTAAAATACTTTTTTTAACGCCAGAGCATAATAAGGTTTTAATTAAATAACGATAATGGTCTAAAATGTGACACGATTTCTAACAAACTTCAATATAAATAAGCTTTTATGTGACAGTTGGGACAAACAATAACATAACCCAACTAAATTTGATTTCTTAAACAAGGAAAGAGACTCTCTTTCCTTGTTTAATGTGGCCTCTCAAAATTACACTTCCCGTCTAACAATATTTTTGCACCCACTACCTTTACGTTCCCTCTTCTGTCTTTTTGCTTGATGCGTATGGCTCATGTAGGATATTCTGAGCATTTTAACGGTAACACCAGAGTTTGAATGCTTGGATTCTTTTTTGTGTTGCTTCTGTCATTGTCCAGGCTTCAACACCATAGAGCAAGGTGGAGAAAACATAGCACTTAAGTATTTGATCTCATGAGAATAAGAAAAAAATGGCTAAAATCGCGTAACGTTTATTTATTTTGCACCTTTACAAAAACTGACTTTATTTACGACTAAACACAAAAAATGCATACGTAAGCTGTACTCTTCGCATTTTGATTTTTGTCGATGATATTTTGATCAAAAGATATCGAAGTTTTACCATCGAGTTAATACAAATTTTATTTAAAAAATTGATTTCATGCGCCTAACTGACATACACAATTCCCAGTCTCTTCAAGCGTTATTTCTGAGAGAACGGTTCATTCTACACAAAAAGTGCTAATAAATATTTTTGTTTAAAATTATCTTAGCTACATTTTTTATTTGAAACATTTTAAATCGATTTTTTCGTTTTTTCCTCCCTTACGAGGGGAGTTTTTAGGATTAAGCTGGGGGTAGGAGTGGTAAACTTTTTTGCATATTTTTAGGGTCCAGAAATTGATAATTTCAGCAAAATTGAGCTTGTTCCTGTGCTTTTTAGAGGTTCAGTGGCATTTTCGTCTCTGACGACTGGAGTAGTCGGACTTTAGTTATGCCGTCAATAAATCCGGCAGAGAATTGTACCACGTAATAAGTACATAAATTTTTTGATACTAATAAAATCGAAAACTTTCACCCATCAAGTGAATATAAAAGAATACTATTTCAGTCAGCGGTATTTCTAAAAAAGTTTTTATTACGGTATTACAGTAAGTGCTGTCGGATCTACCTATAAGTCAGAATATATAAGTAGTCTTACCAATAGATCTCGTGGGAAAATGTTTACTGAAATTTAAAATGATGTACCGGGTCAGTTAAAAAGTTTAATACAATAACGAAAATTACACAAAATATAACAATCGTCATTTTGACATGTTACACAGCGTCGATCAAGATCTAAACCTGATCCATCAGCGTTTAGCATCGGGTAATAATCAAGGGCATTAAAGGCGAGATAGAACGATCAAAAAAACATAAAAAACTGCATGTTGATATACTAAACAAGCAACTAGTCATAGGAATCCCTGGTAGACAATCTCGATGAGACAGATGAAACTGTAACGTGGCACTGAATACTATTCACGTGTGGAATATTATTAACTAAAATAAAACCAACAAAAACGAGAACAAAGAGGAACTGGATATGACTCAAAGCGCTTAAGTCTTATTGGACCGTGAATGTAAAACATAATTACCTAGATCTATAAAATATACATATTGGACTTAAACCTAATGATTATAAATATGCAAATATGAAAGCTGAAGGTGCTCTGACCAACAGTCTGACATACATCTTACTAAGATAAGCGAGGCTAAGGAAAGATCTATAAGAAGAAAGTGGGAAAACGAAATACCTTTCTAAACAAAATATTTATCATCTAACACAACAACAGTATTGTATTATACTATAATTGGAAATATATAATACAATAGAACAGGTCTCAATAAGATATAATCATGACATACAGTATATTAAGATAATATCCATAACACCACCGTACCAAGGTACAAGGAATCGTACAGGGGGAAAAATGATACCTCAGATAAGTGGCAAATTCTGGGAAAATTGTAGCCTTTGTAAACTGTTGGAGACACAGTATGGGCCTGGCATCATTTTAGTTTTAACTCGTGGGAACAAAATGCCTCAAATAAATCTTAATGATCACAGTCTGAGTTCTATAGGTGAACTTTTAGCAATATAAAGCAGCATTTACAGACTGTACTGTTGCTATATGAAGATAAGAACAAGTAGCTTTATGGACCAAACGTGCAGACAGTTCAGACATGCCAAAAGCGAACCTCTGTAACCATTGGATCTGCATTACCGGCCGACTCATATTTTAGCGAGGTTTATTATTAGTATATATTAGTATATCAAATAATAAAATTGGAACCTGAATTTTTTGTAGATCTGAAATGTGTAGCTATTAATCTATTGATTATGTACTTTAGAAAGGAACTACAACTTTAAAGAGGTATTATTGTTTCATATGGCCAATAGACCCGCAAACATGGAAAATCATTGAGTGCTACCATTTAATGGGGTGCGTTTTTGAAAAAGGAGTAAATTTTTTCCCTATACACTAGGGTGGATTTAGGTGAATTCTATGCACTTTTGGGACCAAAAAAATGTCACTGTGCGTTTTCACTTTCTTTGCTCTGTTTTCTGATAATAGTTTTATAAATTTGTTAGCACATGAGTCTTTACAGTATTCTCTCCACTTTCTTAATTCGTATCGCTGAATTGCTTTGTTACAGTATATTTTCTTTAATTATTTTAAAGTATGTTTTGTCTATTATTTATAATTTTTGTTGTCAAACCGTTTTATTTTATTATTTTAGGGAGTGTACTTTTAAGATTTATTCAGGCCAACAGTCACGGGACGATCAGATCAGTCAAATCACCGCCAAGTCACGTGACGATCAGATCAGTCAAATAACAGTCAAGTCAAGGGACAACCGATTCATACACACAGTCCGGGCAGATCACCGTCAGTCTACTTCAGCATCCAGGTCGATTAAGATGCCTAAGAGAAAAATACTTTACAAACTAGCATAACTTTTGGAAGAAGATAACAAAGTGAGCCCTCGTCGTGAGTGGGTACACAAAATATTGTTATCGGGGAGAGAAGAAGGTGATTTCGCAAAATTGTACCCACAACTAATGGAGACGAGACAAAATTCGTACGGTACTTTCGCATGTCGCATTATGATTTCCTTAATTTGTTGTCTCTGTTTAAAAATGACATACCGAAGGTGGACACTCACTATAGAAGAGTAGTAACTCCAGCCAAAAACTTTATGAATAGTTACCTTGTTTTAGTATTTTCCCAATTTTGTGCCGTGTTTTTAATTTTCGCTGAGAAACAGAGTATAATGGATGCGATAAATCATAAAGCAATCTTTCTTCACGAACGCACTCAATTAATTTTTTCGTTCTCCATTGTTAACAAATCACGAAAATATGATACAACTGAAAACAGGTAGCTGACTGACTGTGTCCTATTCACACCAACACGGCAGTCCAGTTCGGTCAAGATCAAGTCTAGAGTCTTGATCGCTGGTGTAGCTACTGGACGGGTAGTGGTCTTGACTGGACCGTGACTGTAATCATACCGTGACCGTACGTGGGATTACCTCAGTCAAAAACCACAGATGCAATCTTGACTGTACCGTCTTTGACTGTGAGGTGACTGTTGGTCTGAATCAACAAGTCTACAAATAACGTTATCTGAACCAATGTTTATATTTATGTTATTATTTAACTACTATAGTGATGGACGGTAAGTGTTGATTGCCAATTTGTTAACAATTTAAACAGTAGAAACTTACCTGATGGATTTGTATCAAAAAATCTCATTGGAGCTTGAAGAACATTGTGAAACATCTTATTATGCAAAACTTTGGAAGCAGTCATACATATTTGGTAATAAAGGAATGATCTCCACGTAAGAAATACGATAGAAGCTAATATAATTCCAGAATACACATAAATATAATATTCTGTAGATGGAATGTCATTTAGTTCTTCTAAAATAGTATTCGGTGGAGGTATACTTCTGAGATGATCTGTTAAATTATCAGTTGAATGAAGAGGTAGATTTGGAAGTGAACTATCTGCAGATGGTGTTGAATTTGTAAATAATATAGCAGAAGTTGTATTGTCATTAGGTAATCCAGTAGACATTAATAACGGTCCTCCTAAGGTTTTATTAAAAGTTGTACTGTATAAAGAAGCATTAAGATTGTATCTTTTTGCTTCGTAATTAGTCCTACAATGAAAATAAACATGTTAAAAGCGAATTTTCATTATATCAAATTGTGGGTTATTAAAAACAATAAAAGCCTAGAATTTTAACCTCCAGTGTTAAGGCTTACGTAGAACCAATAAAACTAACCTACTTAATCGAAATAAAAATAAAAAACATTTTTTAATTGTGTGCCGTCCGTCTGTTATTTCCATGATTAGTGCAGCCAAAATTGCAAACATAAAACAGAAAAGTTATTAAGAGAAAATCATGGACATACGCTTCTATTTCCAAAATCATCATACCTTAAAAAACAAATTTATTCGAGAAGTATGATAGTGGATATTCTCTATTATAAACAATCTTACGTCAAGCTACGGTTAGCTATAGTTATAGTAGGTACTAGGTGTAAGGAAGTGAACATGAACTAAATCAACCCGAAAGGTTTGAATCCTTACAATAGTTTAATCTTTTATATTTATTTATTTTTATTAAACAAAAGTTATTTGCTTTTATTTTTATATAAAATTAAACTTAGGTAAAAAAATGATTAAAAAGAAATGGTTACGAGAAAAATGTCTAGAGATAGAAGAGCTAGAACGAAGACACCATAGCTTTAACATGCATAAAAATCAAAGAGTTTACTTATATTAAGTACAAGAAACGACGGTTTGGTAAGTTAGTAGACGAGAACAACAAACTTGTAGGTAGACAAAGAAGACCAGCTACAAACATACGAAATTTACATAACAAAGGGTACACCTGTTAAGATATTCAAAATGCCCTCAAATTCAATGCCCTTTCATTTTTTTACGTTCTACGTGATTAAAAAATAAGACTCGGCGCAATTTTAAGCCGCCACCCCCACCTGACACTTCTTCTTCTTCTTCAGTGCCTTATCCGGTCCGGATGTTGGCGATCATCAAGACTTTCATGGTTTTGTTTACTGCTTTGCGAAACAGCTCCGCTGAGGTCATTCCAAACCATTGTCGGAAATTTTTCAACCACGAGATACGACGGCGTCCCGGTCCTCTCGTCTGCCAAATACTTTACCCTGCATAACGAGTTGAAGAATTCGATATTTTTCTTCGTTCCGCATCACGTGGCCGAGGTACTCAAGCTTACGTTGTTTAATTAATTTAAGCACTTCTTTTTTCTTTTGTCATGCGCTGTAGGACCTCAAAAACTATATTTCTGATTTTTTTCAGATTTTCCGTCAGATGCGTCAACTTCAAAAACGCAAAAGTTGTTTAAACCACGGTTTTTTTCAGGGTTTTTAAGCTTTTTTGCAGAGTCAATCATATTTTTGAAATCGATACAACATCAATAATTTTTTTCAAATTTTACATTTATACCAATCAATATAAGGTTGAATGTTCGAATAAATGAACTTTGATGGTACACAAGGCAAATATCGAACATTTTATGTAAAAAAAAATAATACTCAGCGCAATTATAGCCTGCCACCCTCTTCCAGTATCCCCAAAAATATAAAAATTTCAAAAATTTCACGCGCCTGGTTGAAGCTTTTTCAAAACTTGTCTATTACATTACCTAAAAATGCTTTTTTTTTTCGAAAAAAGCGTATAATTTTTTTTGGAGATGGCTGCAGATCTAATTTATATATAACCTATAAAAAAATCCAAAAAACCCAAAAAACAATTTTTTGGGTTTTGAAGGTGGCGCAACTGAGAAAAATCTGAAAAAATATTAAATATAGTTCTTTTATCAAATGCCCTTACTTGCAATGCAAGTCTTGATTCAAAAATGCCTGGATGAACAAAAATATGTTTACGCTTGCGACTTGCAAGAAAACGTCAAAAACAGTGAAAAACATGTTTTTTTATGGGATTTAAAGGTGTTTTCTCAATTTTTAAAGATCTTTAAAGATTTTGGTACTTCCAATTATATATAACCTATAAAAAAAAAGTATGTCTAAATGGGGAAAAAATCCCCAAAAAACTCTAAAAAACCAGTTTTTCGTATTTTTGAAGGTGGCGGACCTGATGGAAAAACTGAAAAAAATATAGTTTTTGATTAAATATACACAATAGAACTAGATCTATTGTGTACATTCACATCATCATTCAGCCCATACTCGTCCACTGCTGAACATAGGCCTCCCGTAGTTCACCCCACAAATTTCTGTCCTGAGCCGCCTGCATCCAATTTTGATGTGTCCGTTTCAGGTCATCCGTCCATCTTGTTGGTGGTCGTCCTCTATTCCTAAAGGCATCTTGTCTGGGTCTCCACTCAAGAATGCGTTTTTGTCCATCTGCCGTCCTTCGTTCTCGCGACGTGCCCTGCCCAGTTCCATTTTAAGGTTGATATTCTTTTGATTGCGTCGGTTACTCCCGATCTACGGCGCAATTCTGTGTTGGGTATTCGGTCTCTCAGGGTTAATCCCAACATGGACCGTTCCATTGCCCTCTGTGTTGTTGTTCTCTGTGTACATTCACAAGAGAACATTATTACAGAAAATTATAAGCTTTTTTGAAAAAAAAAATGCATTTTTAGGTAATGTGCACTCAACTTACGGGTCTCAAATAATGTTTTGTAAAACCTCAACTATGCATGTGAATTTTTTGAAATAATTGCAATCTACCGAAAAAAAAAAAAAATTATAAAATCAATAAAAAACTAAAATATAACGTTTTTTGGGAATAGGGGGAAGGAGTGGCGGGTTAAAATTGCGCTGTCCTTGGCAGGACAGGATTGGAAGTCGGAAAATGGCGGAAAACATTATCGACATGTAGTAGTAGTAATTTATTGATTATCATCATCATTGCCTAGCCCTTTGCTTGTGCGATCATTACCACTTTTCATCAAATTTCTTGACATTTTCTTGAGATCGTCAGTCCAACGTGTACGGGGTCTTCCTCTACTTCTTTTGCCTAACCTCGGCCTCCACTCAAGCAATCTGTTCCAGGTAACCTTTCATCACCGATTCGGGCGACGTGTCCGGCCCAATTCCATTTCAGTGTCGCAATTCGGGAAATTACATCGGTAACACCTGTTCTTCGACTTAAGTCTTCATTTCTATCTCGGTCACGAAGCGATATACTCACAGCAGTAATTTATTACGTTCTAATATTAATATATTTGTATGTTTTTTGTTACATTCAGTAAAAATAAAAGTATTGGGAACAATCCGTGTTTTAGTAATATTCTAACAAACTAATATTGATAATATTCATCTTACCAATGTGTAAGCCAAAGATCTGATGCATTCGTAATCATTTGAGCGAAGAGGAACATAAAAACTGTAAATAATAAGAATACAATTCCACCGCCTGATTTCCAATATTCCACATAAGTAGCATTTGAAATGGCACCTTTTTCGATAAGTTCGTCTTCTTCATTCGGATCATCCGAGAATATAGAACTCTAAAAAATAGACAATAATAAGGTAAAAAACAGAAGATATATTTTAAAATGTTAATTATAAGTTATTTCAATTAAAGGTTGAATGTTCGAATAGTTAAACTTTGAGGGTATACAAGGCAACTATCGAACACGGTGATTAATTTAATCTTGCCCAAGTACTTTCGATCAATAGATCATCTTCGGGGCATCTGAAATAAGCCAAGAAACGTTTTTTATAAAAAAAGGAAAATTAATTCACTTGGATAAAAAACTCTAAGTTTATGGTTGAAAAAAATTTATATGTGATAAACGTTTATAGACTTACTTCGTCAATTGTGGCCTATCCTGACATGAGTAGAATGTCATAAATGTAAAATTTGGACATAACAATACAAAATACAATACACAAAGACAAACAAACACTTCAAAATTTTACATATACATTGAGAAAGTAGAATCTTCTCTTTCAGATAACAGTTTTGTAATTTTGGAAAAAAATCCACTTAACACCTTTATTCATAAAACAAAAGCAATGGTTAAATTGTTTAATGACACTATTACTAAATATAACAACAGAAAGTTAACTGTATCTAATCCTATAACACCTAGGTTATATGGACTTCCTAAAATCCATAAACACAATTGTCACATAAGGCCTGTAGTAAGTTTTTGTAACACTCCAGTTTCTATTTTATCAGAGTTTATTTACAACACAATACAGTCTATCACTAATTTTAAACCTAAGTTCTGCATTAAATATTCTTTAGATCTAATAGAACATTTAAATAACATTAGGATAGAAGAGGGTTTTTATTTAGTTTCTTTTGATGTTTCCAATTTGTTTACTTCTGTACCAAGAGATGAAACATTACCTTTAGTACACAACCTTCTAGACAATTGCAACATATCTGCAAAGGATAAAGATGCTATATCAACTATGCTTAAATTCTGTCTGGATCAGGAGTTCTTCCAATTCAATCAAAAAATATATAAACAACCAACAGGTTTAGCAATGGGATCTCCATTATCACCTTTTCTAGCTGATATTTTCTTAGATAGCTTAGAACAGAAGTTTGTTAATAACAACAACAAAATAGTTTTTTGGTCAAGATATGTGGATGATTGTATAGCTCTCATACAGGGAACCCAAGATGATGCTTTACAGATTCTGGATGATCTTAATAACCTCCATCCTAACATCTCTTTTACTCTGGAACCAGAATCTGACAATAAGTTGAACTTCTTGGATATGACTATTTCCCGTAATAAAGATTCTTTAGAGTACAACATTTATAGAAAAACCACCCAAACAGATCACGTTATACATGGAACGTCTAATCACCCAACTCAACATAAAATGGCTGCTTTCAACAGTTACATTCATCGGTTACTTAAATTTCCTCTTTCTGATGATAATTTTAATACAGAACTTAATACTCTTAAGCAGATTGCTTTCAATAATGGCTATGATCCCAACATTATATACAAACTTCTAAATAGAGCTAAACTAAAAATTGCAGAAAAGCTTGCATATTCTTCACAGTTTTTTCAACCGAATGCTTCAGATAACATCAAATATTTCTCCTTCACTTATATTAGTAGCATTTCCAATAAAATATCTAAACTTTTTACTTCTACAATTGATAACATCAAAATTTCCTTTAAATCACCAAACACTTTAGATTCCTTCTTAATCAATACCAAAGATAGGAAGAATACACTTGATAAAAGTGGTATTTACAAATTAAAATGTGATGATTGTGATGCCTCTTATGTAGGTAGAACCATCAGAAAGTTATCCACTAGAGTCTCTGAACATTTGAAAAGACCAAATTCTTCAAGTTTTGGTCAACACTTAGTATCCAGCAACCACAATTTTAACATCAATTCTGGTTCATCTATCTTACATGACATTAGCAGAAAGAAAAACTATCTTGAGTTGGATTTATTGGAAGATTTGGAGATTACAAGGGAAACAAATGAAAACTCTCACTGTCTTAATACTCTTAGTACTTAATCTGTACTTAATACTTAGTACTTAATACTGTCTTAGTACTTAATACTAATTTAAATTGTACTAAATTTAATCCTATATTTAAAAACTTTATTACAGCTTCACCTCGTAGAGGACCCAGCTCGACTGTTTAGACTTCATGCACTGAGCATTTCAATATTAATTTTAAAGTTCTTCCATTGACTGTGGATTCAACTGAACTACTTGGATTATAACTCATTTATATATTTTGTCTTCAATTTTGATTTTAACTTTTAGTAATTTAACTGCATATTCAAATTTTCCTTTTTACAGTACTGATAGCGCTTGGTGGACCATTTTATTGTAGTCAACCATCCACTGTCTAATATATTGTTAGTCTTTTCTTACATTCATACTTTATGTCAACTTCAATTGCTCTCAAACTAACATACTAATTATTATAGACAGGTTTGAGTGTGAGATTGGGATTATTCAATCTACATAAAAAATATACTATATAATTTTATATTTCATCAGTTGATTTCCTATAGTGGTGTCAGTTGGACCTTTGGTCAATACTTAGTTTCATAGAATTTTGAAAGGTGCAGATCACATAACTGCCCTTCACAAGCTGTCATTTGTCACATGTCATCTCAATATTTCCGTCAGACCGGGAGCCCATTCTGTCTCCGACTTCTATACAACATGTAGCTTCTCCTTAAAATTTTAAAGTGTTTGTTTGTCTTTGTGTATTGTATTTTGTATTGTTATGTCCAAATTTTACATTTATGACATTGTACTCATGTCAGGATAGGCCACAATTGACGAAGTAAGTCTATAAACGTTTATCACATATAAAATTTTTTCAACCATAAACTTTGAGTTTTTTATCCAAGTGAATTAATTTTCCTTTTTTTATAAAAAACGTTTCTTGGCTTATTTCAGATGCCCCGAAGATGATCTATTGATCGAAAGTACTTGGGCAAGATTAAATTAATCACCGTGTTCGATAGTTGCCTTGTATACCCTCCAAGTTTATAAGTTATTTGTTCTTATTGATGTTTTATTTTGTATTTTTGTTTTATTAAAGGCGCTTTGATAAATCTAATCTAAAACACCATTTCCTATAATTTATTTTCCTCTTAATATTGCTTTGATACTTGCCTATTATATCTAATTACAATAACATGCTTTTTTTAGGATCTTTTCTATTTTCTAACATAAGCACTTACGTAAAATAACACCTATACCACCTAAGAATAAAACTGGCGAAAACACTTATCCGGATGCGCATATTCATTTAGATCATTCCCTGTCTATTTTTTGATGAAAAGATCAGGGAGAGCAAGTACTGAATTAGAACCAACAAGAACAGATACAAAACAGCTTAAAGATCATCAGATTCGAGTACCAGTAAAGAACGAATTGTAATCTATGTTTGAGGGAAGAAACGAAGAAGGTAGGAACTGAATTAGAGGTTATATTACGTGAGGACATAAAAAATCAAATTACTTCAACTACATCCGGTCTATTAGTGATCGTAACAAACAGTGCCAATAAACTGTGCATGACTGACAAAATCTTAGAAATCTTAGAAGAAAACCATGATATTTTTAATGTGTAAAAGAAAAAGAGGGAGTGTCCTTAATAATAATAGATAAAGAAGGTGACACTGTATTAGAAAATAGGAATCTTTTTTTGATTATATGACGTAAAATAATAACTTTCCTTTAATTTTTTAAACTAGTATGGTGTTGCGGCTGCATAATTAGATGGAACAAATTTCAAAATAACCTATAAATAAATAATTTTAAATAAATATAGATATCTTTTGAATCTGTATTATGAAATTGTATCTAATATTTACTCAATTAAGTACTCAATTTAGTCTTAAAAAGTTCCAATGTTAAGATTTTTCTTTGTATGAAATTTTTACACACTATCTACACTAGTACAATCGCAGTTACACAGTTAGCGGTCATATACAAAAAATGATGAACATTAGGAAGAGTTAAGAGTTACAGATAAAAGAACTAAACACAGTAACAAAGATCATAGTGCACAATAAACGGATAATCAATACATGAAAACACTAACAGAAATATGTAAGGTTTCTCGTATAGGGTACCATCAAGACATTTTTAACAAACAAAAAATACTGGACTACGGATATGGAATTTTCATGTCAGTGATAAAAAAAGGGAACAAATCTGAACTTACATAATAAACATAATAATTATTACGAAGAAATTTACAAATAATATTCTTTCAGGTGATGGAAGTGAGAAAAATCCAAGAAATTGGAAAATAGGGATCACTAACCTAAATCAAAACAAAAAAGGGATAAGATGAAATATAAAAACTCTTAAAACATAACTCTTTTGTGACCAGATTATAAAATTGACACTTCCGACTTAAAAAGCGGACTTCGACTGAAAATATTCTCAGACAATATCAAATTGATAATGTCTTCCTATTTTTTAAGTTCTAGTTATAAGTATATAAAAACATAATACTTACACTCAAAGAACTCATAGACTGGAACTGGGGTACTGTCGAATTTTTACGAATTTTATCGACAGTTTCTGGTATTTTTTCTTTCTCTTTATCGTCGGTCTCAGGTTCTTGTTGAAGAGCATTCAAGTCATTTTCCGACAATTCGTTAAATTTGGCCACTTTTTCAATTTGACCCTAAAATCAATTACGATAATGAATATACTACTAAATAAATATTTACTTTCAAGATGCCACACTACATACACATTTTCAGTTGAGTTATGAACTTATGTGACCAGTCCAACTAGTCTTTTATAAAACGTTTTTTTGACATGACTAATACTTCTTCTACTTCATGTGCCGTGCTCGATTATCGAGCATTGGCTATCAAATTGGCTATAGTAATTTTGTTGACGGCAGCTCGGAAAAGAGATGCAGAGGATCTGTTAAACCAATCTCTCAGGTTTCTAAGCCATGACGTTCTTCTTCGACCTGGCCCTCTTCTTCCGTCTACCTTGCCTTGTATTATTAAATGGAGTATATTATATCTCTCTGGGTGGCGCATAACATGGCCAAAATATTCAAGTTTGCGATTTTTAACTGTTTTCACGACTTCCGTAACTTTTCCCATCCGATGCAAAACAACTTCGTTACGAACTCTATCCAGCCAACTTATTCGTAGGATTCTCCGATACACCCAGATTTCGAAGGCTTCCAGTTTCATGAGAAGTGTATCCGTCAAAGTCCAACCTTCGACACCATACAAAAGAGTAGAGAACACATAACATCTCACTAATATAATTTTCAGACTTAAAGTAATATTGTTTCCACATAACAGTTTCTTCATCTTAAAGAATGCAGCTCTGGCCTTCTCTATCCGTATTCTAATTTCTTTGCTCATGTCCCAGTTCTCATTTAGATTACAACCAAGGTAAGTGATACTGTTAGTTCTCTCCAGTTGTTCACCATAAGCTGTTACAACTTCTGATTGAATTGGCGTTTTACTGACGACCATCACCTTTGTCTTTGCGGTGTTTAGCTTAAGGCCATATTCATTACACGTTGTGGTAATCCTGTTAATTAGATGTTGAAGTTCTTCGTAATTGCTTGCAATTAACACTGTGTTATCCGCATATCTCAAATTATTAATATTGACGACATTCATTTTTATACAACATTGAACATTATCCACTGCTTTATTGAAAATGAACTCAGAATACATGTTAAATAGTAGCGGGGATAAAATGACTAATACGTCAAACATAAATGTTTAATGACAGTAAAGTCCATACAATATCAATAACGATGATTTAAGTACTGAAATTAAAATAAGATACAAGTTAAATATAGCTTCTTCTCAACATCATCGGTGTGCTAAAAAAAACGATATAATATAATCCCAAATACTTTTCTTTGATTATCTGCTTTTTATGTTATTTATTTTATTTTTTTATTGATAATTGTATATTTTGAATTGTTATTAGTATAATTAGATTATAGTTTAATTTATTGTTAATCTTAATTTATTTGACAATAAGGAATTATTCAAATATATTCTATTCTTTAATTTTCAATTGAAAGTAGCTTCCTAAAGGAAAAAAATGAAATCTGTATTGGCAGAATATTTATATAGATAAGTACTTACATTGTTTATAATAACTATTAAATCAGCTTTCTTCATAAATTGGAGCTGATGTGTGACCAAAATTCTAGTTTTTCCGTATAAATATTTCGATATACATTCATCAAATAGATGCCTTGCTACCTTTGTATCGACCGCTGACAGCGGATCGTCGAATAAGTAAATATCTGCTTCAGTATATACTGCTCTTGCAAGGTTAATTCTTGCTCGTTGTCCTCCACTTAACGATGTCCCTCTTTCACCTACTAAGCTTCTATCTCCATAGGGAAATTGTTTAAAATCCCTTTCTAGAGAGCATACCTTAACTACGTCATGGTACCTAAAATTAAATTTTAAAATATGAGTTATAAAAACGTAACGAACAAATAAAACATTGTGTAAACGTGTATAGATATCTTACTAGCACAGAAGATGTCTTATTTTAGCCGGGTAGATTATTACAAGAGTTGATTCTGTCTGTATGCATATGCGAGGTTTACATAAACAACGTGTATTCGTGTACATTAGCGAAAAGGATAGTTTGATAAATTATGAGATCTGAATCCTTTTATAAGATCCGAATTCAAAATAAGAAATAAAGAAATAAATGTGATGAAAAATAAGAGGTTTAATTAAAATATTCGAAAATACCAAGATATTTTAAGTAGCTGTGTTGACATAAATAAAAACAGACCTCTTCTTCCTTCTTAATTTTAGTTTATTTTATCTTAATATATCTGCCCCCACCATGTTTAGTTTATATCACAAAACTTACGCTAGGCTTAGGCCAAATTTTTACAGTACTAAAACGAAAGACGTCTGTATATCTGCTTAAGGATCCCCTCCTTTTATTTTGATATACTTGTTCCGAATATTTATTATTTGTATAAAATGTATTTAGTTAATTTTTAGTTCTATCATGTTACCCAAAATTTCCCGTTGCTACTGTTGTATAAACTATGTCAAATATAATATCAAAACTTCAGAAAACAAACTGTCACCGATTAGGGAAAAAATTAAATAATTTAGCAGACAGCAAGAGTGTTCTCTTGCTGTCTGCTAAATTAATGTAAGTAATAAGTAAGTAAGTAATGTAAGTAATGTTAGTAATGGGAATTAATTAGTTTTTTTATATTGTTAATTTTATATATTGTAGGAATTTGAGTTATTTTTACGCAAATAAAAACAGTAAACTACAAATCCGTCAATTGCTGGCTGTTGAATAAAGATAAATTCCCAACAATACTCTTTATGAGTACTAGAAACCAATTCGCCAAGGATTTTTGCTTAGTTGAGTAGATATGTTGTGGAATGCAATTTTAGATTCCCCGTGTCTCTAATTACATCTTTATCAACGTCTGTTTTGCCTTGCAATTCTTAGAAGGCACAGATTAAAGCAAAATCTGAATTTGGTTTCGATAATTAGAAATCTTCGGACTTCGAGTTTCGAGATGTTTTACAGTACTCTTTACACGTGGTGATCCTCTGCCAATCGCGAAGAACACCGAGTTAGAAATCAAACCGACCATGTTCTTGCAGATTTTACAGACTTCCATAGTGTCGTAGGTATTGATACAGAGTTTCATAGTGTCGTAGATATTGTTATAACATATCATAGAACATACCGGACGGAACTGGTTATGAAACCTCACTATAGACTCTAGCCTCTTCAAGGTATGGGATCTTCTTTCGAGATTGGGGCTCCTTTTTGGTCCAACCAGGTCACCAAATCACAAGCTGCATGGAAACAAACGATACCTTTTAGAATTATTGGGCTTTCTTCAGTAAATACGTGAAAGTTAGCTGTATTTAGATCCTCACCTAGGAACAAGTATCATTGTGCAATGAGATTGGAAAACCATAGAAAATCAATCTCCCCTGCCCTTGTGAACTGATTAAGCGAATCTTAAGAGCATGTTGACGTCATTCACTTTTCAGTGATTATTTATTGATTATTTTATGACTATTTTATTGATTGTGTTGTGTATTGAATTATTGACGAGTAAGCGGATTTGTGTAAATGTTTCGTTGATTGTAGTATTGAAACTGGATGTAGATATGACATATTCATACAAAAGGTAAGAAAATTTATTGAGAAGACGGGCGATGTTATTCCTCTTTTCAAGGAAGACATTGAAGAGGATCATTGATGTGAAGTGGATTAAGGATTTCATGTCGAAATGATATCTTAGGAAGGGATTTGTTTAGAAGTGGCAACAGTTTGTGTTTATTTAGGGTTGGTTGGTGGAGCTTTTCTGATGGGACACCTGGGAGAGAATCAGGCATGTGTAGTTCATGAGCGAAGTAGTTCAAAAATCCGGATCCGATTAGTCGCTCAATCGTTTATTTTTCTGAGTTTCGCGTTTCGTTCAACGTTCATCATTCAGGAGCGGTGAGCAGTTTAGTTTGAATCTTCAAGTCGATACGCGACATAAGACAAACGTGAGCGGAGGAGCTGGAGCGGGTGGGGAGAGAGCGTGATTTAACTTCTTCATCTTTAAGTTACATCTTCTATCGAAGGTTGGAAATCATCATGGCTATGCGGACCCTCTTGACTGCCGCTCTAAATAATTCTCTACGTCTGCATTCAAACCATACCCTTAAGTCCTCAAGCCACAATATCCTTTGTCTTCCCACATTTCGCTTACCTAGAATTTCGCCTTACATAATAAGCTGCAATAAAGAGTATCTTTGTCCTCTCATCACATCTCCTAAGTACTCAGGTTTTCTTCTTTTGGTAGCCAATATTATTTCAGCTTAATTTCCTATTCTTCTAAAAACTTCTGCGTTTGATATTCTCTGAGTCCATAATATTTGTAGGATTCTTCTGTAACACCAAAATTCAAAGGCGGCCAACTTATTCAGATGCACTTGTTTTAAATTTTTTTTTGTAATTTAACTAAAGAACTATAAACTACGTAGATCAACTTCGATGACTGGTGAACGGTGAGCGGGTGAGCTCTGAATCTATGCTGAGAAATCATATAATTTATGTTAAGCTTTAAAACAAAAAGAACAAATTTTGTAATAAAACGTTTTTAAAGTTAATTTAAATTAAAATCGGCAATTACTAAAAATAAACTTTTTATGCACAAACGCTAAAACAATATTACGTTTTGCCTATATGTAAATGAATTCCTTCTGTAACTCTTTGTACTAATAAACTAGTGACCTAAAAAAGCGACCTAGTTCACTTCTCACATTTGAACTAAACTGAACGCTCTTTATGGATATGCACAACACTAGAGAAAAGGCAGGATGGTTTCCTGGGCGTTCGAACATTTTGCAACATCTGCTGTTAAACAAGCAGTCGATTTGTCCTGTTGTCCGCAATTAAAACAAGTAATGCATTTGTGCGAACATTCTGTATTGAGATGCCCACTTTTGCAGATCCCGTGCAGTATTTTAGACGGTCAGGGACAGCACTGTTCGATCTAGGGATCTCACAATTGAATCTTTCCCAGTTAATATTGATACTATTCGAGAGAACATCATAGAATTTGGTTTAAGAGTTCGTAAAAAACTGTATGACGCTGTTATTAGAGCGGACACTAATTCGAACTATTTTAGTATGCGAAAATTTGATTTCGGATAGGCTATGCTCGATGTCTTTTATGGACAGATTTTTATTTACACCGGCAATGACTAGACGGAAGTTGTTTTGATGATGGTTAGTAGCGAGATTTGAATTGTTTGTGATGATATGGAGACGATTTTATTTCCTGTGAGTTGGCGAAGTTTTGCCTTTAAGTTGTAGAGGTCTATTTGTTGAAACGTTCGAATGGAAGCTGCTTTTGTTTGGGAAAGACTTTTAATGAGTTTATATTTGGAAAGAGGCTGTTGACATTTATGGTTTTGTAGAATAACCAGCAATGTCCATCAATCATGATGGACACTTAGGAGTAATGTAAGCAATTGGATTGGTTGTCGCTGTGCAAAAATATGACTTAAAGTACACAAAAAGATCAACAAAATAAGAGATAGAAGCCTCAAAAAGAACAGTGGAATACTGAAAGATCGTGATAACCAAATCCATGTGAAACCTGAAGCAAAATTAAAGTGCTGAACAAATTTAGGAAATTTTGATATTATACTAATTTGTTTCTCTTAAAAAAACACACTTCTACCACTGAGTTGCACTTCCATTGAAGCGCGCTAGCGATAGAAGGCCGACAACGGTATAAAACAAGTGCCGCGGCACAAGCAACTGAATGTCTATCAGAGTGTTAATCTAGAAACAACTCCACTGGCCCTAACCGCTTCTGATAGAGTGTTGATCTAGTGGTAGTTCCTTACCGATCTTAGAGTGTTGTTCTGTGGTGTTGATTAATCACTTCCCGCTTCTTGCTGGATCGAGTGTTAATCGATCCGTCCATCTTTAATCCATCACAGCGACTCTTCAGCATGTGTGCATTAACACACCGTATTTTCGTTTAGATTTTTATGCCGTTGCGCATCGATACCGTCGTCGGTCGCTAGGATTGTCAATTCAATTTAATACGTATTATCTAGGACATAATTTTATTTTGTTATTTATTTATTTCGAATATATTGTTATTTAAATTAAACCTGAGTTTTACCGAGCTTGCTGTCTAAAAGAGCTACCCGATGCATATAGAATAAATATCACTAAGAGGGAACATATGTACTAAGGTAGACTAAGATGATCACAACAATGTATTAGAGTTCCTTTATTTACAAAGTTTAAAAAATAAATTACCTGTTTTTCATAAACGGTTTTCCAAAAAGTATATTTTCTTTCACATTTGAAACGAAAAGCCAAGGTTCTTGGGAAGCATAGGAAATTTTCCCATTTATCTTCATTTGTCCCTTATTTGATGGTAATTCTTTCAGAAGTAACTGCAGAAGACTACTTTTTCCACATCCTACGTTACCAACGACGCAACATAAAGTTCCAGGTTGAATGTGTAAATTGAGATCCATCAGGGTGGGAGCAATTGGTTTTGATGCCCAACTTGCTGAAATATTAGTCAACTGAATTTCTCCTAATTCATCTGGGTTGGAGATTTTTTCTGGCTCAGAAATCTTCTCAGTTTCCTCCAATAAAAGGAAATCTTCTAACCTATAACAAGAAAAGTAGAAATACAGCATGACATGCGAGAATTGACTTGTTGCGCGCTGACCAAACTTTATATTGTTACAAATTATTCATTTCAGGACAGACAAGTGAAAGAGATCAAGCTCCCTAGCGTTAAATTACTGCAGTATTGTCAAGTATTTAAATATTGTTTGAACCAAAACGAGGACATTTTAAAATTAAAATGGACAGTTCAGAGAAAACTAAATGTTTAGGATTGTAAACAATATACATTATTTTTAATGTGTTCAAGTTTACTACACAAGAAGCTATGTCAGATAGCCTTTTAGTAGATAGGTTTGATAAAGATAGGAATCACCAGAAAAATCGGTATTTAATGATTTACGTAGTATTGAGATTTATTTTAGCTAATATTTGTAAGGCACAGTCAAGTCCTGCTTGCTTTTTGTATCCCAATAGATGTGTTATTTCTATTTATCTATCTAACAAGTCCCAAACATTCACCTTTGGATACAGGCCTCATTGTCCTTCTTTCATACCTCTCTATCATAGGTAGTTTGCATCCAATTTGAGCTAGCGCGTTTTTTTCAGATCACTCGTTCTCATCACTCGATCTCATTTAAAGTCTTCCTCTTTTTCGTTTGTGGTTCCACGGTCTCCAGTATATAAGTATTGTTACGATAAATAATGACTCATAAAACTGTAAACATTCATTTTCATTCTATGTTCTAGATTCTCCGACCCACGGGTCCCCTATTATACCTGCGGTTCGAACTCTCCAGAAGAGAGTCGAATAAAAACAACCGGTCTGCTTTCGATGGAATTCCTTTCCCTTCTAGAAGGTCGTCGTCCGCTCGAGAGAACTCCGGAACTAACGGTTATGTAGTATATATGGGACATTTTATTGAAAAGCAAGTCAGTCTGAAAATATAATTGTAACGGGAAATAAATATTGTAAATTAATAATATGAATTAAAGTAGTTGTGTTCTACTTTTTAGTGATAAATGTAAAACTGTAATAAATATATAAAGATTCTAATAAACTTGTAAGTGTTATAAATGTACAACCTATTTTAATAAATAAAGACAATAAATTAAATTAAATAAAAAACCGTTCAGTATCTTATTCTTATTAATATGGTAAATTAATCCCTTTCATATTTGCCCCATCTGATTGCCTCATTGTGTATTTTATGTTAAGATAAGAACGATCCTACACCTAATAGAGCTAATGGTTTAAGAAAATACTTACCTTGAAATAGATACTTTGGCTTCAGAATAAAATGACAAAGCTCTTGGGAAGAATATCGCCATAACCAGTTGAACAGTGTTAAATAACTGAGCTAAAGAAAATACTACATCTCCCGTTAATCTTTGTCCAACCAGTACAAAAGTAATGACGGTAATGTACAAAATCGTACGTTCTGTGAATATGCCCATTGCTGATAGGACGCCATAGCAGTAAGAGGTAGTTGTTATTATATCTATTTCGAATCTAAAAAAAAAGAATAACTATACTAGGTAAAAAGAAACAAATCAAATATCATACTTTCTAGAGAGCTCTACGACTTTTTCGAATGGTTTTTCCCAGGCATACATTTTGATCACTTGTATTCCAGAAGTAATTTCACTCATCAATTTTACTCTTCTGTCTGTCTTTAAAGCAATTTTGTATCTTAGTTTTCCTTGCCATTTCGAAAAACTACCTGTAACAGATAATTTATTGATCAACTTAATTTATCTCTTTAGTCGAGAAAATGAAGCACAGCCCTATGGATTTTCCGTAAAGTAAGATGGATTTGAATGCGGTTTTTGGGCATTCAATTCGTAAAAATCTCTACAAAATTAAATCTAATATTTAACAGTGCATTTTTAAATATTAAAAGTTAAAAATTTATAATGTAACTTTATTTATTTATAATTTATTTGTAACTACTAATGACTCATTTATTTGACCTATACCCATATGCTAGATAAAATCCAACAGTCGAGTGATGGGAAGGAGTAAGGTATAAAGTGCTTTACAGATAAATCTATCCGCCTTAAATATCTTTTGAGTTTCTAATTTTGAGGAAAAACGCAAAAACACGTCAATTAATATTTTGAAGAGGGAAAAACAAATACAAAAGAAAGAAAACTGGATTAAATTTTTTTTTTTAACAATTTTATTACAAACATTTAGGACGAACATTTCACCACCAAAAATATTTAAAATGACTGCCATTCACTTCCACACAATGGTGCAATCTATTTTGAAAATCTTCTCTGACACTGCTTAACAAGTCTGCATTTAATTGTCGACATTCATTCTCTATTCTTTGTCGTAAACCATCTAGAGACTCTGGTTGAGTAGCATAAATGTTTACTTCTAAATACCCCCATAAGAAGAAGTCTAGGGGTGTTAAATCCGGTGACCTAGGTGGCCAATCCATCATATATCCTCTTCTACCTATCCAACGAGTGGGAAACGTTTTAAAAATTGTCGCAAAATTGTCACAGAGCAAATTGTGGAGGAGCATTAATTGGCAAAATTCGAGACGACGATCGACATCTTCTTCAGTTAACTCTTGTACTAATTTAATTTTATATGGATGAAACTTAAATTTATGGAGGATGGAAGGATGTAGAAGATGCTAAACCGATTGCTCTGCTTTTTGTTGACAGTGATTGTGATTGCTCAGCCTCAAGTTAACTTGCCCTAAAACGGCTACTTGGATTGCTTCGTTATTTAAAAGTCCCTGTCGGTTATGTTTTTTATTGCAAATTGACCCTGTTGCTTAAAATTTCTGCATCAGTTTAATCACATACTTATGAGGTGCATGTCTGTTGTGGTGTGTTTCAATAAAAATTCTAGCAGCAGCTTTTGCACAATTATTATTTTTGTAGTGTAAACCTACACTCTCAATTCTTTCTTGCAAAGTATAAACCATTTCAGCGATCAAATTGCACACGGATCAAAAAAGTCTTTTACAAGTTATAACAAATTGTAATTGGCTATTAACCGATTAAAATAAATGGCCAAATAATATCGAAAACCTTTGATAAAACTTGAACATAAAAAGTGAAGTTTTTTATTTCTTGGTTTTTTATTTCTACAACCTATTTTGTTGTAGTCAATTAAGGTGGGAGAGATACTATCTTGTTAAAAGAAAAATTGTCTATCTCATAAACTAATCACTTCAAGCCAAATGTATTATACATTTTTAAAATCGGTACAAAAATGAGAATCCAAATATAAAATAAAATAAACCGGGTGTGGTAGTCCAGTGGGATACTTCTATACATGCGTTCGCCGTTACACATTGATATGGGAGTCAATCTGCACAATCATTATATATATATATATATATATATATATATATATATATATATATATATATATATATATATATATATATATATATAATTCTATAGGTAAAAGAGAGCAGAAAGAAAAAAAGAATTAGGTATATGGTGCATAGTTTACTGGATATAAACATTTGACCTGTAATAGGAGTATAGTAAATGACGTATTGAATCAATATTTTAATGAAAATATATATTTTTATTTTCATATATGTTCCGGTAGTTTCGCAAATGTCTAAAGGGTTAAGTCATTTCGTAAAAATGAAAAGGGTATACAAACTGCCAAGTCATTACGAAAATGACTAGGATTTTGCAAGAATGCCTGCATTTCATACTTGCCTACGATTTGTATATATATATATATATATATATATATATATATATATATATATATATATATATATACGCATAGCGGAACTAAAATGGAACTGGGCAGGCCATGTAGCGAGAATGCACGATTCACGATGGACGAGCAAAATTACAAATTGGAGGCCAAGAGCAGACAAACGCAGTAGAGGAAGACCACCTACACGTTGGGCCGATGACATCAGGCGTATCACTAAAAATTGGCAACAAAGAGCACAAAATCGTGAGGAATGGAGGAGTTTAAGGGAGGCCTATGTCCAGCAGTGGACGTGATAAATAGAGGCTGGATGATGATGATATATTATATATATATATATATATATATATATATATATATATATATATTATATATATATATATATATATACATACAAAATAAACATTTTTGCTCTGGAGAGAGAAAATATATCTTCTGTCTGTCTCTTACTCATATCTTACATATGTAATGATTTCACCGATTCACTCCCGTGCAAATTTCCAACGTCGAACGCGCGTATAGAAGTATAAGTTCAAAAAGGGGGAAGTAATTTTAAAAAAATTAAGGGATGATACGGGGGGTGAGAGGGTGCATTTCCAGCAACCTTAAATATGATATAATGTATCCCCTTCAAATAGCAATTGACGTGTTTTTGCGTTTTTACTAAAAATTATAACAACAAAAGTTATTTAAGGTGAATAGTTTTATCTGAAAAGCACTGTATTTAAATTTAATTGTGTAAAAAGTTATATTTTTAACCTAGACAATTGAAAACGATGCTTCAAATGAACTTAATCTTTTTTTAAGTACATTTTAATTCATTTTTTTAAATAAAAGTCCTTGATTATATTGCGGCAAATAGATATCAAATAGTGCAAACATAAGTATCCATTATCATATAGCACTGATTAAAAATTTCAAGATCTATTTCAATATGAATATCGAATAATCATTTTAACAAATTAACACATGCCACAGATAATTTAACTTATGTTATCTACGACGAATATTTCTTTACCAATAAATCAATTAAGTCAAATATTCACGATAAAACTAATATTAATGATAACATAAACATTTTATACAGCACCTCGTTATTACTAAATAACCGATAATGTAAAATATGTAACAATTGGTCAAGTAACAAAAATGAGTACATGACTTGCATTAAAAAAATATGAGGCAAATTTCCTATTATTAAGTGATATATTCATTTTACCCTAATAAAAATAATTTTATTTCCGTGAAAATTCCTATGTCAAGAGGAAAGCAATTCTTCTGCACTCATTTTTTACTATATCCCACTACACAACTTGTATATTTATAATCTGTAGGTAACCTATTATTATTTAGGATTATCTGTAGATAATCTATTAAAATCGTCTATTATTTTTGCGCATGTGTGTCAAAATATATTAAGAATATAAAAAAAGTACCTTGTAAAGGAATAGACTCCAGAGTTATGAAAACCATTCCAGTAACGGCAGCTATGATACCAACATATCGATATAAAATGTAAAACGATATCCCTGCAGTAATTGGCATAATCCAAGCATAATGTATAAATTGGGCGGCCAAGTCAAATCTTTGGACATCATTAGATAAGAGGTTAACCAGTTGCCCGGATGCCGTTTGACCCAGAGAATTGTGATTCAACTTCAAGAGCTGTAATTTAAATAAAAAATAAGAAAAAAATGGACATACGGTGATTCTTTAAATAAAAAATTTTTTTTTTGTAGGACGTTCAAAATACCGGAGGGAAAGTTTCGAAAATATTTCAAACATGCCCTGTATTAAAGAAATAGAAATTATTTCGAAAAGAAAACCATTTTTTTATTTGAGTTGTAAATATGTCGCACACTACTTGTCTGTCAATGAATCTACATTGTTGACGCCAAGTATATTTTGGTATTAGATGTTTTGTTTCAATGAAATCTTTAACCCTTTCGCTACGATATATAAATGAGAGTAGTATACTTGTGCGAAATTACATTGTAATCTAAAATAACATTTTTTATTACAATTTTTTACAAATTTACAAAACACACAATATGTGCCTCCTCCGCATAGTTTTAGAATTTTCAAAAAATATGCGGAGGGCGCACTTGGTCGCCTTGCATACAAAATTAGTGCTTTCTATTTTCTTATTATTATTAGTGTTAAGCGTTTTTAATTTCATGTATTTTTTGCATAACTCGTAATTCTTCAAAAAAACCTTATTGGTTTCTACTACATTCGTACTGCAATTGTTTATGACCTTGACGGTAACCCGTAACCTCTATTTAAAGAACTGCATTTGCATTTGTAATGAGTTACCAACTGCAAACAGATATACTTTAATAAAATAATGCAATCTTTAAGAAAATCATAATGTATTCATAAAATACAAATTAAAACATTTATAAAAGAGAAATATGGGAAGTTTTATTTGTGATACTCCATGAAACATTTACCCAGGCAGAAACCAAGTCTCTCTGTACCGGCTGCACCATTGTATGAAGTATCTTTTCGAATCTTGTTTCTCGTGCATACACGACATTTTTTTCTGAGAACCCTGCTATGTTCATTTACCAGGACAATCTTTACATCTTTCTTCTTCTTCTCCTTCCTCTTTCTAAGCAATTCGCTTATTCATTGGCGGATTAATACCTCTATGTAAGGTTGTCACTCCATCCAGTCCTCTTCTGACTGACTTCCACTTTGTTGTTTTGGTAGATGTTTTCGATAGTTTTTATAATATTTAGGGGAACTTCTCTATTATAGAAAAGATGGATTACATATTTGAGTCATACTCTATAAATGCTTTCTTTAGGTCAATTAGACACAGAAATGCTGGTTTATTATACTCTAGTGATTTCTCAGTAATTTGCTTTATAACGAATATTGCAACCGTATACTATCTTCCACTACGAAAACCCTGTTAATCATCTGCTAAACTTATCCTCTGATTTATTCATCATCATTATTGGCTCGACAACCCATGGTGGGCTTGGCCTGCTCAAGAATAAGTCTCCATTCTCTCCTATTCTTCACCTTGACTTTCCAGTTTCGTACTCCCAACATTCTCAAGCCTTTCTCCACCTGATCCTTAAATCGTGCTCTGGGTCTGCCTCTCCTTCTCACTCCATCTATTCTTTGATTATAAATATGTTTTGGTGGCCCCATCTCATAATTCTCTCTATCCTCTGATTTATTATTACTTGTAAAATTTTATTTGTAAGTTTTGGCGTATTATTTAACAAGTTTATACCTCTGTAGTTTTCTGGTCGTTTTTTATCTCAACATCATCATTGGTGCTACAGCCCTATAAAAGAGCCTCGACCTTCCCAAGTTTATTACGCCAGTCAGTTCTATTCATTGCCAATTGTTGCCAGTTTGCTGCGCTATTGCTATTTTTCTACCATTCTCATCTACACCATCCCTCCATCTGAGTTTTGACCTACCCCTACTTCTACTTCCCATAGGTTGTGACATAAGGATTCTTCTAGGAGGGTTGTTCTGCTGTGATCTTGTCAGATGTCCTGCCCATCTTAGTCTTCGTATTTTTATAAGAGATACTACATCTTTACCACCAAATATATATTTATATCTGTGATATATCTCGTAGTTGTACCTCCTTCTCCAAACACGATTTTCACAGATGCCACCGAATATTCTTCTCAGGATCCTTCGTTCAAATATAAGCAGGAGGTTTTCATCTGCCTTGGAAATGGTTCATGTCTCCGATCCATATGTCAACACTGGTTGTATAAGGATTTTGTATATGGTTATTTTCGTTTTTTGGCTTCTCATATGTCTACTCAATCCAAAATAGCATTTGTTTGCTAGGATTATTTTTCGCTTGATTTCTTCCGTCATGACGTTCTCCTTAATGATCAGGGAGCCTAAGTATGTGAATTTGTCCACCACTTCAAAGGTAGAATTTGAACCGTGGGAGTGTCAATGTTTGCGCATCCACTTCCTCAGCGAGATGGCGAAGTGAGTGGGATTCGGAGCGGCTATTTAAGGCATGTGAGTAGCGGAATTAGTCAGTCTGGCAGCTAGCGCTCTAGGCTCCCCGACTCGCAAGTGTATTGAACCTGCGAGACAACCCGGACAGAGAGATTTCCGCATTAAGGATCATACTCTGTCCTTAACTAAGCAGAACTCATCGGTATTGTGTACTGAACATTGCCGTGGGCCTGCACAGCCGAATATTTTTGTTTGTGAGTGCGATTGGAGCTTCCGCTGTATTAGAGCGGAAGCGAGTATAAGTCTGCGTGCGATCGAATTCACGTATTTTATTTGTTTGTTATTAATAATAACTTTTTCTTTCTTTTATAGACGTTCGCCGGGGAATTCCTTCATCGCGGGATCCAGACGGGGACGTAGAATTCGTTTTATTTTTATTTTATACGCGGAGAATTCATTCTATTTTATTTTTATTGTACATACGTTAAATTAATAGATATATTTTTATTTCAACCTGTGTTTTACTGAGTCTATCGTCCCGAAAGAGCTACCCGTTACAGACTGAATTGGTGGCCGATGTTTCTGGCTTTATTGTTGGGTGTTGATGCTATTATCTTAGTTTTCTCCTCATTTACTTGAAGGCCCATATGTTTTTGATCTCTTTTTTTGAATAGTAGAATTAGTTCGCTCGTTCTCCATTCTTCCAGTATTTTGTGTTCTATAATTGTATAAATTAATGTTTTTAACTATTCTGCCATTGCTGCTCCACAATATTTCAGTAATTCGTTTGGTACCCCGTCTTTACCTGGTGCTTTTCTATTTCTAAAAAAGAAAATTCTTTTCTGAAAAAAATATGTTTTTTCGACGAAGCAATATTTACAATGTGGGGCAATGTAAATCGCCAACATTTAAGGTACTGGAGTGTGGTAAATCTACGTTGGATACGTGAAAACCATACTCAAAAACCACAAAAACTAAATGTATAGTCGGCTATAATGGGTACTCAGTTGTTTGGGCCCGTTTTCTATAGTTTGTAGATACTTGCAAAGTAGAATTTTAAAACTAAACCAGCAAAAGTTGCAGAGCTAACGAAAAGAATTATGAATGAATCCCAATATTAATTTCCAGAGAAACATGGGAATCCACCGTTTAGAATACTGTCAAAGTAGCATCTGAGAACATTTTGAACACCTAATTAGGTAGACATTGATTCAGCAATGTAGTATCAGATTTTAATTATCATCTATGTTCAAATTTATTTGTACGTAGTTTTAACCAAAAAATTTATTGACACGTGTCTAGGATTTTGTTTCTGTATTTTTAAGATGTTCCTTACTACATAAAATCGAAAGTACTATTTGAACAGGTATTGAAGTGGAGACTTCAATAAAGATACAAATATACAAAGTGTTTATTTTGATATTTGAAAAAACCAAAGTGACTAATTATATCAGAAAAATGGTAAATCTGGCACGGGACAAACATCAAATTTTAAATATTCATATTGCAAAATAGGTGTATCCCTGTTTTTGTATAATTCGAATCATCCAATTAAGTGATAATTAGGCTTGTGCATACCTTTGGTCCATTATGTATATTTTTTGCGTGTATTTGCTTATTTCCAAAATAGATTAATATGCACTTATTACGTATTTAAATTGCAAAATAATTAGAATACATTACAAAGCGGAAAGGTTATCATGTTTTTATTAATCTTAAGAGATAAATGTTCATGAAATTAACAAAATTTAAATTTATTTTGGTAAAGTAGAAATACTGGTAAAAAATAAAAAAAAGCTGATAACTTATTGCATTTCATCGTGATTTTAAATTATGATTAACTTTTTGTAATAACAATTTTCAATATTGTGAAAAATTAAAGTACTTTAATCTTGAACGTTTTATCGAATCTCATATCTTTTGACAAAACTTCTGTACGAGTGAATAAATTTCATAACCTATGGTTCAATTTTAGGTTTTAGTCCGTGCAGATATTTTTATGAAGAATATTTTCTTTTTTTAAGCAGTACATAATTGGGATATTTTCTCTGTTTTACGACGGATGACCATAACACGGATGCGAAAGCTGTGATTAGATCGGTGCAGAAATTGGTACCTTGAAACTGACGGAAACCGTTGTTTGCATCAATACAAAGCAAAATGGTTCATTTAGCCTATATTAGGTACTTTTATACCTGATTTGTTTCAATCTTTACTATATTTACATTATAAATTAAGCCACGTTTCACACGGTGAATGTATAAAACAAAAAAAATATAAAAGGTAACTTTGAAGTGAACAGGAAACAAATATAATAGGTAATTTTGGAAATCCAGATAGGTCCTTAACAAAACAAGAGAAAGTAGTTGTTAATACAACAATTTGAAAATTCCAGGTAGGTATGTCCTTAACCCTGCAGTAGACGCGCCCGGATTGTAAGTCCGGCCCATATGTTATACAGCCATAACTTTTATTATTAGACAGCACTCAGCCTAGCTTTTAAGGCCAGTCCTCGCGATTCTGGGCATAACTAAATTCCAATGTAAAAGTTTATATCAAATAACGCAAAAACTATGGCAGATATTGAGATGATTCTTTTTTTATATGAAAGGTCTTAAAAAGTTCTAGTGCACTATTTGATTGTAAATTAATAAATTGTTTAAACAATATTTTTTTTTTAAATATTTTTGGTTAAAATAAACGTAAAAATTTTT